TGAATCTTCAATGGTCACGACACGTACCTGATTCAGGAACTCAGCATCAATTGGTATAATAGTAGCACAAAGCCGAAATTGCTTTGGCTTCAACAGTGTCGTATATTGTTGATCAAACGCTGCTTCTCCAATCTTTGGTACAAGATACGATCTCCTCGATAAGGCATCAGATAGTCCTTGTTGCTTTCCAAGTCGATAAGTGATAACAAAATTAAACCTAGATAGCGACATACTCCACCGAGCTTGACATCAATTTAGAACTCGAGCCGACATGAAATACTCCAAATTCTTATGATCTGTGTATACAGTCACAAGGTGTGCAGCTCCTTCTAGAAAGTGATGCCATTCTTAGAAAGAATCCACTATAGCAAGAAGTTCCTTATCGTAGATCTCATAATTGATTTCAGCAGCAGAGAACTTTCGAGAATAGAATGCAACCAGATGGAACTTCTTATCTTCTCTCATTTGTGAAAGTACAGCTCCCAAAGCAAAATCGAAAGCATCAGTTTCTAAATAAAAGGCCTTTGTAAAGTCTAGATGTATCAAGATTGGAGCCGTAGTAAATGCAGTCTTCAGGGCTTGAAATGCCTTCTCCGCTAGAGGTCCCCATTCCAGCTTATCCTTGCATGTCAACCAAGTAAGAGAAGTAGCAACTTGAGAGTAATTCTTCACGAAGATCTGATAGAAGTCGGCAAAATCAAGAAAGCATTGTACGTCTCTAACCATCTTCGAAACCTCCTAGGATACGATTGCTTCCACCTTCTTGGGATCCATCTTTAAGCCTTCTATAGTCACAACGAACCCCAAAAATTCCATCTCTATTTAGTGAAATAAACACTTCTCCAACTTGGCATATAGTCCTCGCTCGCATAGTTTCTCCAAGACCAAACGAACATGCTTTTCATGCTCTTCTTTGTTTTTGGAAAATATCAGAATATCATCCAAATACATGACAACAAAATCGTCAAGGTGCTCTCGAAAAATGTCATTCATCATATGTTGAAAGACCGCTGGAGCATTGGTAAGACCAAAGGGCATGACATTATACTCAAAATGGCCATACCTTGTACGGAACGCTGTCTTCCACTCATCTCCTTCCTTGATTCATACGAGGTTGTAAGCTCCTCTTAGATCAATTTTTGTAAAGATCCTTGCACGTCCAAGTTGTTCTCTTTTCTTCACAAATAAGATGGGTGCTCCAGCTAACGATTTTGAATGATGGCTGAAGTTCTCGGCTAGATTCTCATTGATGTACTTCCGCAACTCCGCCAACTCCGTCTGCGATAGATTGTAGATTGGGCCAAAAGATGGTTGTGCTCCTTCATGTAAGTCTATGGCACAATCATATGGTTGGTGTTCCGGTAGCATGTCGGCATTCTTCTTTTGAAATACGTCTTTAAAATCCTTATATTGCTCAAGTATATTTGCTGTCGAGATCTTCTCCCCGGTAGTTGGAGCCGCATAAATAACAAATGGTGTGCCTTTTTTGGACGATCTTATAAACGCTCTTGCTCCAATGAATAAGGATTTCTCTATTCAGGGTTTTCTACTAGGCTTGCTTTTGGGTGGTTTTGTGGGAAAGATCATCTTTTGTAACTTCCAATCTATGGATGGGTTATGCTTTTTCAACCAGAAAGGACCAAGAATAACAGGATTTGATGGGATTCTAATAATATTAAAAATAATATGACTACTATGGCCCTTAAACATCACTTCTATAGGTTCTGATTCATGGGTGACACTACCAGACAATAAAGGTCGTCCATCTATGACTTCTACGTGAACAAGTTTGGATTTTTGTATTAAATGGATCTTATGACGCTTCGCAAATTCTTCATTTAAGAAATAAGCAGATGCTCCTGAATCTAATAATACTAAGTTTCTCAGTTTCTGAGGACCAATAAGCAAAGGGATTGTAAAGCAAAGGACAGGTTGAGCGGAAAGAAAAGAACCTGGTTGTTGTTGTGATATTTCACTGTCCAACCGCATGGTTCCTATTGCGGCTGGGCATCCTCGTTTTCCTGAACAAATGCGTCCCTAGTCCTGACAATACGTCGATTTTGCTTCTTGGGGCAGTTTCCAACTTTGTGGCCTTCCTCACTGCAATACAAGCATAGACCTTCCTCCATATGCCGCTTTTTTTCTTCTAGAGTAAGGGATTTGACACGTATCGCATCAATTTGGATGTCTTCTATCTCTGAATGTGAATTCATGTTGCTTGCCGACATAGTTGGGGCGTGGCAAACTGTATGTTGTCTTGAACGTTGGTCTTAGCGGGGTTGGAATAGGCGATTACCACACTTCACAGCTTGGCTAATAGCTTCATTCAGCGTTTACGGATCAAAAAGAGTTAATAATAAATCCTTCACATCGTCCCTTAAATTCCAATAGAATTGACTCATCAATGCTTCTTCGTCCCAATTGATGTCACATGCTAATTGCCTGAAGTCCGATGCATAGACTGATGTAGAGTGCATCCCTTGTTGTAGTGATCGGATCTTTGTTGTAGTCCATTGAACTTTGTTGTGTTCACCAAATGCTTCCGCAAACGCCTCCAAAAAGGTTTCAAAGTTGTTTAGTATGGACGATCGTTTCTCAAACAAAGGAGCAAACCATGATAGAGCTTGCCCTGTAAGTAAGGTTCCAACAAGCCCAACACGTGACTCCTCCGTTGGATAGCGTTCGGGCTGTAAAACTGTTATCAACCTGATTTGGTTGACGAATCCTCGAAACTTGGAATGCGTACCATCGAACTTGTCCGGAAGACTAACTCAGGGCTCCTTATGTTGTAGAATCAGCGGTGCTTATCGAACTTGAGGCAAAGTTGCTTCTTCAAGTGCAGAAGTTTGAGGTTGGTGCAACCTAGATTGTGCCATCCTAGATGCTCTATCATTATGAAGCCTTGCCACGACTCCTTCAATCTCTGCAGTTCTTTGCAATAACGTAGCGAGGGCATTCATGATAGCATCGAACTTGGACTCCGAACGTTCCGTCATACTAATGTCTTGGCGCCCGGCCATTCTAAGAGAAGGACAAAAATGACTCTACAAGAAGACAATATTGGTTTAGAGGAGGGTATTCCGCAACCTCTAAAATGCCTTAAGAGCTTCAAAAAAAGGGGTAATCCACTCTCTCCAAGAAGAATAAGACTCCAATATTATAACAAAAGAAGTATCAGTTTAGAGGAGGGTAATCCGCAACCTCTAAAATGCTAGTACACTTCCAAGCAGAGGAGTAATCCACACTCTAATGAGAAAGAAACTAGCTGTGATATCTGAGGTGAGTGCAATCTCGACAAACTGTCACGGACACAGAAATACAGACTTGAGATCTAATAAGAAGTTCAAGAAGAACTAGCAAGAACTAGATTAATCAAATAAATACAAGAACAACACCCAAGAGGTGAGCTAGAGCTTCAAGAGATGTGTTGTCAAGACTGAAGAACTCTTCAGCCTCGATTCCAATATATACTCCTATTTAGGAAGCTTCTCAAGCAACTTCTATTAACTAAGAAGCTTCTAAAAGGTTCTAGAGACTTGTTTCTAGAAGGTTCTAGAGACTTGTTTCTAGAAGGTTCTAGAAACTTGTCTCTAGAAGGTTCTAAGGACTACGTTCTAACATCTTCTACTAACTATGAAGCTTCTAGAAGGTTCCAAAGACTTGCTTCTAGAAGGTTCTAGAAACTTGTCTCTAGAAAGTTCTAAGGACTATGTACTTAATAGTTAGCAAACTTCTTCAACAAATTATACTAATCTCTCTAGTTAGTACTAATACTAGTAAATGTTATAATATTTAAATATAATTAGATTTTGTCAAACTTGCCACTTATTTATTGCTCCAAAATAATGGAGTTGACATAACTTTGTTACGTGGATGTAGATGAAATTATTAGTACACTATTTATTCATAATACTAATTTAGAGAATGTCTTGTCAAAACATCATTTTAAGTAGACTAAGAAAATATAAAATACTTAGAACAATTTATACAATTTGTATTATTTATAATATTTTGTAGTATATTGTACTAATAAATAATTATGGTTTATACTTTGATGCTAGTTTATATTTTTAAATAAATTAAAAAATATATTTGATTTCATATCTACTCAAAAATAAATCATTTTATAGAAAAAATATACAAAAAAACTATTTGCCTTTTAATTTTTTTCTTCTTAATTATTTTATTTATACCTTTTGATGATCTTGTTAAAATACCACTTATTATTAAAAATATGCATTCTAAACAAAACTATTATTAGTTTTATAAGCTTTATTTTGTGACTTATAATAATATTTCTAATGAATCATTTTAGTATTATTTTTTTATTTTTTTATTTTTCTTATTATACTTAAAATTTAAAAAATATCATTAAAATTGATTATTTAATTTACATAGTATGTAAATAAAAGTATGCATTTAATAAAAGCCGGTTAAGTAAGTATAAGATTTATTTGATAAGTCTAAATCAAATTTTGTTAATAAATACATAATCAAATAGATAAACAGATAGTCATGGTGGATGCAATTTTTTATATTTTATATTTTATTATTTTTTATGATACTTAAGTAGAGGATAATATAAGATAATTACACAACTAAGAAAACTCTTGTTTAATATAGTCTAATAATATGAAAGTTTAAATTTATATCTAACTTTAATAATGAAATTTTATAATATTTATTTTAAATGTAATATTTAATTATAAAAAAATCCATCGTATTCTTATATAATATTTTTAATTATTTTTATAAAATTTCATATAATTCATTTCCAAAAAAAAAAAAAAAAAAAATCCCATTTAAAAAAGAAATCCTACTAAATTCTATTAATAATAGATTTTTTTAAAGAATAAAATTATCATATTTGCAAGTATTTTTTCTCCATACATATATATATATATATATATATATGCATAGTTCCATATTTTACTTGTTTAAAATATAAAGTGGAGAATAAATGTGCGAGGACTACACCTAAAAGGGAGGTTTAAAGTCGGTCCCCACGGACGACCAGGTTTTAAAGGGACGGGGACGGAAACCAGGCCCCTCATCAGCCCAGGCGGCCCCTGTTGAAGCTGTTTCAGCGCGGATCATCGCCTCCATCGCCATATCCCTGCTCGCTCGCTAGCCCCGCCATCGCCGTCGTCCGCCATGGTGATCCCCCTCCTCCCTCGCCTATTCTGTGCCGTCGCCACGCCCTGACTTCTTGCGCTTCTTTTGAGACCCATTTCGTTTTTTTCAGCTCGGAGTTTCGTTCAAATCATGAAACCCTAATTCGGTAGCATAGTTGTTATTATATTGAGCTGTGGGACTGGTTTCGCTTGTTTGTGTTACGGTAGTGTGCCCAAGTTACGTGACGCATTGTAAGCAGATGGGTTTCAGTTCTTTGATTAGGGCCACAATGTTTTTTGGGTGAGAAGTGGTTCGATCTCTTCTAGAATGGAGGATTAGGACTTCGTTGTGCAGTGACACTCAACGTGCTTTGAATGGAGGTTAGGGGGTTCAGCTTGGATGACAGAAAAAGCTAGGTTAGAAAAGAGGGTTGTGTTGGTCATGTATTGAATGAAGGGGGTTTGAGAATTGCAGACGAAGGGGACAGGCAGTTTCGGTAAGCGCCGGAACAAGTCGCACACTCTGTGCAGGCGCTGTGGGCGGAGAAGTTTTCACATTCAGAAGAGCCGTTGCTCGGCATGTGCTTACCCTGCCGCTCGCGTTCGCTCTTGTACGTGACCCCTGACTTAGTTGAACTTTCTACGATTTTTGTGCACGTGTTCCGGGTCGTCAATGATTTTACGTATTTGTGAAATTTAGCTCTTAAAGCGTTATTAGAGAAAGTCCGACACTGGTGATGAGTTCCTAAGCATTGTATTCTATTTGCATGAAAAGGCAATTTAGTGAACATGGTTTCATCATTGGCGACGCTGTGATATTACTTTAAACACTCGTGCTGCATTTACCCTCGAAGATGTTCTATTTCATCTTGGATTGGAGCTTCTCTATGCATATTCAACGATTCGTCCTCGTTGATGTGTAATTGGGACTTCTTTTCCACAATTTGGCATCATTTGCATGTTGTATTTTTCAGTGAATGTTTTGGTATTGTGACCAGACGTTGATGCAGAATTTGAGTTCGTGCAGATAACTGGAGCGTGAAGGCCATTAGAAGGAAAACCACTGGAACAGGGCGCATGCGCCATCTTCGCCACCTTCCTCGTAGGTTCAGTAACAATTTCAGAGAAGGTACGTTTAGCTCTACACGTCAAGATGGTTTCAAGTAATTTAATGTATCTGCCTTCTGGTGTCATATTTGAATCATACGTCGGAAGTGTTTCAAGCGTGTTTACCATCAGATTTGCTTGGTAGGTATATTTTATGTTGTTTGATGTACATTTTTCTTATGTACATGTTTTGTTACTGCAGGTACACAGGCCGCTCCCAGGAAGCAGGTTGCTGCCACCTAGACTTGAGTGGGTTTCTGCATATGATGTGAAACATTTGTTTACGGAGGGTAATCCCCTGATCCCGTGAAACAGAATTTTGATGACACCAATGCTGTGTTTCTAATGATGTAGTAGTTATGTGGTCAGATTATTTTCATAATTGGACTATTTTCTTTTGGATCATCACTCTTTCTGTTTCGTTTAGTCGTTCAAGACTCTGGATGTATTCTATGGCATGCACCAAATAATCTGTGATGAGCTTGTTCGTTTACTTATTTGGACTTCAATGTATAGTCACGTTCTTAGGTGATTTTACTGACAGAGTAGAGCTGCAATGGTGGCGTTTCAGTAGAGGCGCTATTTCATGTTGTCCATGCCTTTGCACTAAAAAAAAGTTCATTTATGTTCACGAAAGTCGGTACGCTAAATTTGAATCAACTGAGGTTTCTCGGTAAATGGACAGAACAGATGTTTGCAACCTCAGCTTTCGAATCGGGTTTGTATGCGAAGGTCTCTGTAAGCCAAATTCTTCGGGTCCACACATGATATAAACTATCGATACTGAAATAAATACTGCAAATATTTAGTTGCAATGATATTTGGCATGTGCACGTCTAGATAAGCATATCAGAGAGACAATTGTCTGTATTTTATACTGATGGACACAGCACCAGGGAGGCAAACGTTAGCTATGATTTTTGAAATCTGGAGAATCAAAAAATAAATTCTTCAGCTCCTTCAATTTCAAATATGAAGAATCTAACTCAATCTAAGCTTACATAACCAACATTGGGTTTATTAAAAGTATCATGAAAAGATGAGAAAAGAAGATTCTTTTTCACCATTCATTTCAAAACAACACGAACCTATACACATCATATCCTGTTACACTGAAAGTGAAAATTAGCAGCAACCTTCAAGTTCTGCACCTACTTGAATGATGAAGCTGTGGGTGGCACTGTGGGGGTGTACAAAGAAAGTGCTTCTGTGGAGATGGAGCGCAGAGTGCAAAGAGAGTAGACAATGAAGACTAAAGTACAAAGCACTAAATCAGAGACATAAAGTATACTTTCACCGGCTCCCTGAGACAAAAGCTGGGCCATCTGTATTGAACTGAGATCGTCTGCAGTTTCAGTTACATGTATAAACATCAATAGAAAGATGCAAAATGTAAAATACTGATAATTTAACCTCAAGCTACATATACTTCAAAATACCAGAAAATGGAGTACTTGAACTCGTGCTTAATTGATCATGGTCACTAGTGTTCGTTGGGTGATATCAAAACCAATTTGAAGTTGAGCACTCTTCGAATTCGTTGAGTGATCCGTCTGAGAGCCCCATGTGACTTAATCTTGCGATGTAGAACGCCTTCTGTAGATGGAACTAATAGTTGCATCTGCAATGAAGATGGTTTGAACAAGTCACTCCAATTTGCAGCGGCACCAAGGGAGAGGAGAAACCACAAAAATATTCCATGAGCATATACTTCGAGCCAACAGACTTGAAAGAAACTACACACAAGTATCAAAGAAATAATGTTAACAGGGCACTTTTAAGAGCAGGCTTAGTATTCGTTAACATGTAAAGTTTTTTCACTTACCACATAGCACAACTTCTCTCCAGTATAAGGAAAAAATAGAAGAGGATTGATCACTGCTTTGTGTCAATTTGTAAGTCAACTCAGAAGGGTCGAATTTGTGGAAGCGGAAGATCTCCTAAAATTGTATCATTGATGTTGTGAGAAGCCATAGCCCAGACCTTGAGTTTCGTTCAGCCATTGCCAGTAATCATTAAGGACAATGTCTTTAGGTTGCACTTCTTTCCATCGACCTTCACAGAAGATAGCATAAGCGTCTCTTGCGTACCTGAGCCAGCAATCAGTAAAAGAAATTGTTAACACGTTGGGAAGGTTTTAATCCTGAACAAAATCATCCAAGTAGCTAAGAAACTAAGTGATGTCTCTTCTCTCAAAACGTTAACCCCCTCAAGATATGTATAAACACACACTTACTCGCCAACTCCATGTAGCTGAGTAACATTTGTCCAGGTTGTTCCCAAATACTCTTGTGAGAAACGCTGTAGCGTTTTTGCTCTCTTGTTTTGTAGCCCCAGAGAATGAATCACAGTTCCAATTTTCTCAGTTTCAGTAGAGACGCATGTCTCTGCATTTGGACACATCTCAAAAAAGTCCCAGATCACCTTATGCATCTGTACACCCCAAGCAACACCAGAACAGAATACCCTCGTTATGGGGCTAAATTTCTCAATAAGAAACACTAGGCAATCACTCAGTCCGTAAAGTGTCCTAAATTGTTTGTAGAATCGACAACATCTAAGAAACTACAGAATTCGAATAATAGGAGACAAATTGTACCTGACGGCCTCCTGTCTTGTTCAGCAACATGCAAGCTACGAGAACTTTCCAAGGGTCCTCATAAAGATGCTCTTGTATCAGGCCATAAGGAGAAACCGGAGGAACAAACATTACGCCGGTTGAGAAACGGGCTCCTGGAGGAGGCATAACATCAAAAAAATTCTGTATTTTCATCTTAGCCGGAGGTGTGAGCTCCACAGAAGACGAGAACTCCATCGACGCTACTGGAGACGATTCGGCATCCTCGTAAAGTGTTGTGGCTTCTTCTCTCGCCCTAGACAGGTCTGGTGCACATTACAGCAGGAGATTTGTGCTTCAGTCTTTCCATCTTCTAACTTCCACCGTGTATCTTGACGGGGTATAGTAGACAAGGCAAGCAAAAAAGACACAGCAGAAAAAATATAAACCACGACGAGTTTACCTATCGGAAAGCAAGCGCAAGCAGGAACGTACCACTGTGGGTTTCGATGTTGGACTCCAATTTTTTAGAGTTTTTCCTACTCAACTTGATCTTTGGACTGCCTATCTCACCTTTGGACTTAAGTTGCACAAGCCCTTGTTGCATTCTCAGCCGACTATTCGCAATGCGCTTGGAGGCTCTAACAGGCTTCTGATTCGAAGCCCGTCTTTTTTTTCCTTCCACACTAGCATCCTTCTTTCCTACACTATCAAATGTAACTTCGACACCTACCGCAGCAACTTTTGTATAAATGTCTTCTCTATCTCCTTTATGCAAGCAAGAAACTTCTGAAGAGCTCCTACGTCGCCAATCGATTTTCTTAATTCCAAGGGCTTGTAAAGTTCGCTTGCAATTGAGCTTAATTGACTTCTCTCTTGCTGCTTCAAGTTTCACTTTCGCCTTTCGCACCCAAACACCTTCCTGGGATTGATGTTCGTAAATACTGTCTGATTTTGAGGCTTTTCTGCTGCACTCGTTTGCAGATTCCGGAACTTTTATTTTGTCTGGGTCATTATTCTTGATGGCTTCAAGCTTCGCACGAGCTTTCTCCACTAAAATCCCCTTGGAATTAACTGCCTCTGGCTGGTCCTGCAAATCTGAAGAGAGTAACAGGTTGATCCCAGTATCCACATTATCACCAAGAAAATTCTCCAGTTTCCTTCTCCTCGAACGCTTCGAACGTTTCGAACGTTTCGAACGTTTCTCCCTAGTTGCTTTTACACGATCCAGTTTGAGTCTAGCTGTTTCTAAGGTTACCTTAGTTCTTCGACCTGCAGAACATTTTGCCAATGTAAAAGCTCGCACCCGAGAGACAGGTACTGGCAGCTCCAAAGAATCTGCTTCATTGCTGTCATCGTAGCTTACGAAGTCCATCACCTCAGCATCACAATCTGCACAGTAGTTTAATTGAGCTACTACAACTGGTAGCAATACAATGAACAGTTCGAAACAATTTCGGTCTGGCAGGTTGTCTAAGGCAATAAGATCAAGAAGCGCCGTTTTTACATGGGAGCAACAAGTGACAAAAGTTGTAACCTTAAATAAGACTTAACCCCCTCCAAAATATACCCTAAAGGTTCTTCGCTCGTTGAAAGAAGATGTGTAATGCAAAAATGCCAGCTTAATTGACTTTGGACAAGCTCACGCACTCCACAAATTTCTGCCTTATGAAGCAGCTAACGATAACTACCACTGACCCCAACTCAAATGAAGCACCAAAATTGTACAACTTATACAAATACAACCTACATAACCAAAATCAGATCAAGTAAATTTCCCATACCTGCAGCACATGATTCGGGAGCTGAACATACTTTCAGAGACATTCTTCGATGCACGAAGGCCTCAGGTGTACTGAAACTAACCACACTTGCAGGCGACGATAGACCAAGCCCATCCGACCTAACAGCAATAGCTTCAATTACATACTCCTCACTTATCACCCTCGGCGAATCGCTCTTCACCGCCGTGCCCATTGCACACGCCAATAAGAATCAAACCACCACACCTGTTCTACTGTCTCCTTTAAGATGAATACTCTCGTCACCACCGGAGTCCACAATGCAATGTATTCAGAAACCCAAGGAAAAGAAAACCAGGCACCGCTTCACTTCCACTGCAGAATTCGAAGCTCACAATACGAAACCCACAACACAACGATCACGAGATATCCCAGAAGCTGAAGATTCTCCTCCGTTCCAATTCCAACCCCCCGAGACGGTCCTTGCGCTCAAACCAGAACCATTTCTGCAAAACCCAAATTGCCCAGTTCCGCTTTTCGATTCAGCAACTCATCCCACAGCTCCTTGTCCCCGAGAATCGACACTCCCAAAAACCCATCGACGGATTTCACTGCCCATCTCGCACAGATTGCAAGCTCGCGTCACAGAAACAGGGACCGACACTTGGGTCGGAAACGTAGAAAATTTTGCGGAAAGTTTGAGTACCACGTCGACGAGGAGGCAGGCCACGGCATCGCGCACCGCGCGTGCCACTACAATGACGGCAATTGTGGCACGAATTGGCCCGAAGCATCTGACCATCGCCGCCGCGGCGAAAGCGTCGAAGGCAGCGTTGGAGGCGGAAGCTTCGGCGAAAGCACTCCTGCGCCACGTCATCGATCCACGTAAGCATCAAATATAATTACCTCTATTTTATTTTATTTTTACATCTATTTTTTGTGAGGCTTTTAGATGATGTTTGATTTTTGTCTACTTTATTCAATAATAGTGTAGAAATATATTATTATGTTTAGGCTTTGAAGCTCCATTATCAACTTTGTAACATCTTGGCTTTGTATATGACTTCTTTGTTGCATCAATCTAAATCCTATGTTATGGCTTCAATTAAGCCATGGTACAATTATGAACCTAGAGCATGGATAGAGTACATAAGCATTACAACATCAATACAAGCTTTGCTTGTATTAGGAACATAATTGATTGGGAATGACATGAACAATGGAGCTATTAAAAGATGCATGGGGGTTGTAAAAGTTGCTAGTATACTTCATCTATTTGAGCTTAGCTCTAAAACCTCACAACTCTATAAACTTCTAATTATCTGCTCTCTTGTTGTTGCTAATCCTTTATACTCTGCATTATTGACCTATTCAAGGTTTGTTGTTTTCATGTTCTTTATCTTTGTACTACAATTCTTGAGTTGATACATTTTTTTTTTCAAGTTTAGATTCTAAACCATACTTGGAAAAAACTATCAATCTTCAAGATTTATTATTTTTTATTTAGACACATGAGAGTATATCATGCCTACAAATTGAATGCTATAAAATTCTTTGTAGTTTGTAGCTTCTGACATTATAGTTGGGCTTTGGCCAACTTCTAAAATCCGAGTGCTATGGTGCAAATGTTAATGCCATTTCTAAGAATAATTGACTTACACATGCACCAACATACAGAAGTATTGCAATCATCAAGGGAAGTGGAGTACTACATTGTATCCACATTATTCTATCATCGCAACATTAGAATAATTTCAAGAGGTAAACTAAAAAGATATTTTCATTAATAATGCTCTATTTTCTATGTTCCTAAAGATGCTTCAATCGACTCCATGTTGTTAGGATTTTAGATCCTTGTTGGTTTTTTTTCTTTGGCTATTTTCAAAAAGATATGATTAAATCACCTCATATATTTAGTCATGATTTCATGGTATAGGAACTTGTCCAATTGATTTGTCTACTACAGTTGTATAAATTGTATTGTGTTACTTTGTATTCGAAAAGAGCAACTAGAAGAAAATGTTTTGCTAGTGATGGTGCACACTTATTTCATGCAATTCAAAGGAATTGGATGGATCTTGTTGAATAAATATTTTTGAAATATTAAATTACACTTTAAAGCTTTTTATAACTCTATGCATGTAATTCAGTCTAATTCCACTAATTAAATGCATACAATTATAAAGTTGTGTAAGAGTTGGAAATAAATCCCTTGTACAATCATGATCAAAATCTTCTTTATATCATTGAATAAAATAAATTCCTCACCAACTACATATGAATATTTTTCTTACTAAATAAATATCTATAAATAGTTGACACATGGCTCATAATATTTGAGAACTTCTTATAGATGTTTGTGAACTTACCATAGGTTGTATAAGATAAGTTCTAACATTATATCTATAACTATTGCAATTTCTCCAATGCCTCTTACTTTCTCCTGCTTCAACAACTTCAAATTGTGAAGGTGTTTGTTGAGTAGAACATTCATTTTGTCTTTCACTATTACTTGTTCCTTGCAGTTGCATTTTTTGCCAATTCATAGTTGGATTTTTTAACCTTGCACTCATTGATGCAAGCTCTAAGAGCTAAGCATAAATTTTTTTCTTATTGATGTATTGATAGCAACTTGAATATGTGACCAACAACATCAAGGACCATTTGAAGATAATTGGATGATACAAATATATATCTTTTTGGTAATGGAAGAAGTAAATCAGTAATATTCACCATGTGGTATTGAAGATGGAAGTCATTGATTATTAAAACACCTCCATTATGAACCATAGTTTGAAGTTTATATTTATATATAATTTTTAACATCTTCATCAATGAGCTTGTGAAGGAGTTGACGTCTAATACTTCTTTTTCACCTTGAAACTACTCAAACACAAGGTTGAGAGTAAACATGGAGATGTTTTTAATAACAGTTGTGAAGAAAAGAATCTATTTTGTTGTATTTTGACAAAAAGTGAAAGAAAAATTTATACTTTATGTAAATCTCTTATGGAAAATTTTAAATATGATTTGAGGATTGAATGTTGTGTCACGGACATACTCAAGAAAGCTTTTGTACCTATAAATACGGGTTTAATTGAATTGGACTTATGACTCTCTACTTGATTAACTACACTGTTAGTTATACTTTTAGAGAAAGTAAGAATTCGGGAAATCCAATCTATTTGAGGGTTGTATTTTGTAACCACGATAAATCTAAAATGACTGGATTAGAAGGAGATCTAATGATATTAAATACTACAAAACTATTATGACCATTGATTATTACTTCTATAGGAAGGGTTTCATGAGTAATATCTCCAGAAGACAATGGATGACCATCTATGACTTCTACATGAACAGGTTTAGTTTTCTTTACTAAAGATATGCTATGTCTTTTAGTAAATTCTTCATCTAAAAAACACGTTGAGGCTCCTGAATCTAATAAGGCAAAGACTTTGTAATGTTTAGGTCCTAAAATAACATTTAATGTAAAACAAGAAGAGGGCTCTAAGGAGAGAATATGACCTTTACTAGATGTTGTGCAAGGTTCCAGCTGCACGGTCCCTATTGTAGCTGGACAAACTTGTTTTCCGACATATTGTCTTCTTTCAAAGCCATACTCCTCATTTGGTGATTGCGTCGTTTCTTTAGACAATGTTGAGTAGTATGCTTTGGTTCTCCACAATATAAACATAATCCTTCTTGACGATGACGAGTCTTTTCTTGCTCAGTAAGAGATTTGAAACGTACTGCATCAATTTGCATATCTTCTACTTCCAAATGTATGTGTTAAAGAGGTGTTGGTGTTGCCATTGAATTATAGTAACGTTGAGGTCCACTTATACGGTTCTCAGATCGGAATTCAAAAAGGCGATTGTCGCACTTCACAGCAAAGTCAATTGTTTGACTCAATGTTTGAGGATTAGATAAGTTGAACATTAATTTTTTTACCTCATATTGTAATCCGTAGAGAAATTGACTAATAAGAGCAGCATCATCCCACTTGATATCAGTTGCAAGTTGTCAAAATTATAAAGCGTATAACATTACTGATCGATTGCCTTGTCATAAAATACGGATCTTATTGGTTGCAACACGAATTGCATCATGTTCTCCATACATGAATCGAAACTCCGCCAAAAAAGCCTCTAGATTATCCAATATTGGATCTCATCATTCAAAAAAAGATGAAAACCATGATAGTGCTGAACCTGAAAGAAGCGTACCAATGAATCTAACTTGCGATCTTGGAGTTGGATAGCTTTGGGGTTGAAGTTCAATCACAAGTTGCACTTGATTGATAAATCCTCGAAACTTGAATCTGGTGCCATCAAACTTCTCGGATAAGGCAATTCTTGGTTCTCTAACATTTGAAGGGTGTTCCACCATAGGAGAAAGGACATGGTTTGGTGCAGATGTTGAAGCAGCTCCAACCATTTCTATATCTTCACTTCCTGCTAATCTTGTTGCTCCTTGTGGTGGTAAATTGAGTTGATGCATCGCAAGCATTAACTCCCTCAATTGCTCTTGCATTTGTGCCATTGCACTCTTCATTTGAACAAGTTCTGCCATGATAACACTTAGAAGAGAGAAGATGTCTAATATCGCTCAAAACAAATAGAAGAGAGGACTTGAAAACTAAGGACAATATCAGTTTAGAAGAGGGTAATCCGCAACTTCTAATATGCTTAAATCCTATCAAGAAAAAAAGGTAATCCACTCTTAATCAAGATTAGACAAAGCTCTGATATTATAGGTGTACTCTTATCAATCTGTCAAGGACAAGAACTCAATAAAAAAACAATTCAGACAAGTGAGCCTTCACTCAAAAAAAGGTAACAAAATATAAATAAACAAGTATGTATATTGAAAGAGAAACTGGAATGGCTATTGCCAAAAGACAAGAAAACTAGAGACCCTTGAAACTAGACTGGAAGCAAGAAAAGAGTTGACAAGAGTGAAGAAGCCTTCACTCTTGTCTCTATATATACTATCTAACTAGGGGCTATGTGGCAACGTTCTATAGGACCTCCAATATGTGTTGACTTTGTAGAACACATGCCTTGACTTACAAGGCAAGTTTTTCTACGTGTGGGCCACATAGTTAGCTTGATCTTCAAACTAACAACATTTGTGGCACATGGCCAACTTGTTGACCACGTTTCTAATCCAAAAAGTCAATTAAAGATACCTATGAAGTCAAAGCAGCGTCTATGAAGCTTCTAAGAAGCTTCTATATTAAATACTATAGAATTAACTTACTTTTACCTACTTTTACTTACTTCTACCTATTTGTATATGTAATTACTAGCTTACATGATTATGTCCGTGACATGTTGACTCTCAACTTGAGATATAGTTACACTTCTTAAAAGAAAATAACTATTTTTTGAAGCTTTTATAAAACATTTTTTTTGTGGTATTGTCATGGACATATATATTTATCTGGATAATAAGATTAGGTAAAAATAAGTCAAAGTAGATAAATATGATAATATCTTGTTGAAAGCTTCTTAGAAGCTTCATAGACACTACTTTGCCTTTATACATGTCTATAGGTGATTGATAGGTTGAAAACTTGGCCAACAAGGGAGCCACATATCGACATGTTGACCACTTGTAGTACAAGTTGGACATATGGTGCACACCTACGAAACTTGCATTGCAAATTAGACATATGTCTTACAAGTTAGATGCGTATTAGAGGTCCTATAGTATATCGCCACATATTTTTTAGTTAAGTAGTATATATAGAGGCAAGAGTCAAGCCTTCCTCGCTCTTGTCAATTCTTTTCTTGTTTTTTAGTCTAGTTTCAAGAGTCCTATGTTTTCTAGTCTTTGGCAATAGCCATTCCAATTCTTCCTTGAATATACATACTTTCTTCTATTTTTTCACTTGCCTTTTGACACATATTCTATGAGTTTATGCATCTTCTTTCAATTAGTGTCCTTGACAAGTATCTAGGTATTTTGCAAATACTTGACTATTATATGCACACTAGTGGGGATATATTTAAAGGAGAAGATGTTCTATTCTTCATTATAAAGCACTTTTATACTAGCATTTATCACATTGGTTCAGTCTACCAAAACTTTAGACCAATCTTCTATCAACCTTATAGTAAAATACTTCTTATAATTTGCCATGACATTTTTAAAAATATGCCGTATATAAAGTAGTACATTAAGGATAGAAAAAAATGTTTTTAATGGCATTTATTAATGCCAAATCTTGATCAAATCTAATACAAATTGGTTTAATATTTTCATACAAATGAATGAGTTGTGTTAAAGACCAAGAAAACAACAACTTTATTTCTGATTAGAAAAAAAACAATTACAACTATAAAGGAGGTATTAAAACTTGTTATCCTTACTATGTGTAACACATGCATTTTAAATTGATTTGTTTTATAAATACAATCCATAACAATAAAAAAAGAATATTTTCTTGTTAGTTCAAAATATTTTGCATGTCCAAAGAAAAGAGAAATTACCTTATTTCTTTTGTCACATTGATAAGAAAATTAATATACACTATTTTATAGACTTTTTAAAAATAAAACAGTGGAAGTAGAACCATTAAGAACTATTTGACACAATTTGTGACATTCATTATAAATAGTGCAAGTAATAACACAAGTAAGGATTTCTCTTGTATAGAGCAAATCCAAAGTATGCAACAAACAAGTTGAATATATAAAGATATATAGTACTAAAAATAGATGGAAAAGCCATTTTTGTTTCAATTCAAATATGGATAAGAATAATGATAAGGTATTTGCTGCCATTATCTTATATTCTTTGTGATAATGGATAGATTAATTTTTAAAAAAATTAGATTATTTTAATATTTTTCTAAATAAAGTTATTTAATAATTAATTCCAGTAACTTATCAAAATAAAATATAGAATATAGATTTTTAAATTCATTTTATAAACAATAATAGTTGTATTATTAAAAAATTAGAGTTTTAACTTCAAAGTATAAATTATAAATAAAAATATTATATAATTTGAAGAAATTTATTGAATTATATTTTATTTTCTAATAAATTATGTTCATATTTTTTAAATTTAATATCTTTATATTTTTTAAAGTATTTATATTAATATTAATATTTTTATTTAATACTCATTTGGCTTTAAAATTTTGTTTCTCTAAAGTCAATATAAAGTAATACTTATTCATTTATAAATAAATATGTTTAATATTTTAAGATTTCAAAATAAGAAATTTATTAATGATTTAATATTTTAAAAATAATAATAATATAATATAAAGTATAAATAATATCATTGTAAACAAGTATGGTTAAAAAAAATTAGATATTTTCTTTTAATATTTTGATAATATTGAATAAACAAGAAGACTATGTAAACAACATTCAAGAGTTTTTAATATACCAGTACAAACAAATGTAAAAATACGCATGGTTTTGTATTTATACAAATAAAATATAATATTATTATAAAATTTTTAATAGTATTATCTTATAATTTAATAAAATAAATATATATTTTCTTTCTAAATTTTTATTCTATATATATATATATATATATATATATATATATATATACACATAATTAAGATATCATTTTTACTTATAAGCATTTTATGATGTTATAATCTTTGGAAAAATTAAATTCATAAGAATCTTATAAGATTCTTATAATCTTAGAGTATATTTTATTTAATAAATAAATTTAAAAAAATTATGGAATTTAAATGTTTTTAGATTTTTAATTATTTTATAATTGGTTTTTTTTATTATGCCAAAATATTTTAAAATTTAAAATTTAATTTTTTATGAAACAAACATATTATAAGAGCAACCAAATTTTACTATATTGGTTTTTTCACTTAATTTTAATTATTGAAAATAATAGTTTATATTTGAAAATAAAATATGGATTCTAAAACTTTTACTTTAAATTTTAAAAATTTATAAAAAATAACTAAATAGCGCACATAATATATTATATTAAAAGTGCAATTTAAGTCTCATACAATCCTATTGTAGCCGAAATAAGGATTTGGAAATATTTGTGTAAATAATCAAATCTTGTAGCTAGAGAAATAAAAATATCACAATATTCAAAATATAAGATCTAATCTTATAGATTCAAAAAAAAAAAAAAAAAAAAAAAAAAAAAAAAATGAACACCTAACAAACAATATCCTTTACATAAAACAACTTAAAGAGACAAATATATAGGATAAACAATGGAGACAATAACCTTCTCTAATTTGCTATTTGTATCTTTCATTGTTTTCATCAAAAGTGAAATAAAACTAGATAATGCACAAGTATTGTTTTTATCAAAAGTGAAGCAAAACTTAACTTGCCTATTCATAAGGCGTTGACATGCATGAGAATGTTTTAATCAGGTTTTAGAATACTCAAAAAGCTAGCAACCATTTGTGTAATTCATTCTTAAATATACAAGTTCAATTTGAAATAGTATTGCTTAGTCTAATAAATGATTTTGTATTGACAATGAATAGTTAGATAGCTTATAATATACTCAAGATTCAATTTTTGGTGACAACTATATGGATTTAATTAGTTAAGTTATAATTGTGGTTTATTGTGACATGTTGATATATAGTATTTTACTCTTTGTTGTGAATTTTATGAAAAGAATAGAACAATACATTTATATTATTTTATCTTTTATATATATTTTTTTGTTTCATATTGGTTCATTGTATCACATTCCAAATTCTAAGTTACTTTACACTTTATAAAAGAGTACCTAATAAACCCAAATAACATGAATAAATCATTTGCTTCAAAACAAGTAATTGATATGGTGCAGGCAACAGAAAGCAAAGACCATTTGCCAAAACATACTTCACAAAAATTGATCATCGCTAATTTTCATCTACATGCGAACATTAACATGTTGAAACATCGAATAATTATTTCACAAGTATGTTGGACTAACCAACGATTACACCCGTCACAGTGGTGATTAAAAGTGTTAAGATTCAGTGATCTAGACTGTGTCGGTGAACACCGACATTCACCGAAGTCTGATCGATTTCATTAGAAAGTGAGAAACGCAGTGTTGGGTTCATTGCAGAGTTGCAGAAACAGTAAGCAACAATGTGTGTGGCGGAGCAAAAATACTAGATCGACAACTGCTAACAACACGGTACCGACACTGGTGGAAATCGGCAGATTTGGAAACCGACTGCAAGCCGTTTGGAGCAGTGTCAACTCTCTGAACTGTTTCAAAATCATGCATCGACAGGCTGACAACTCTCGTTGAGCACGAGAGGGGGTTGATGAGGTTGTGCGAAAAATAGCACTGCCGTAGGGGATAGGCCAACTACACTGTACCATTTGAGGTCATGTTTCGTTTTGGTTTGGTTTGGTTTTTTGGCTTGGTTCACAGCGGAAGTCACAATCCAGTTCCAGTTCCTACTGAAATCAAGATAGTATGATAATGTTACTATTGTAACATTGTAGGACAGTTTCACGCAGGACCCCAGGATAAAACCTTGGGGTCTACACTCACTGTCATGTTCAAGCTACTCCAGCAGGGGATTCTAAGAGTGCCACTAGTTTCGTCTTTTACTTTGCCGGGTCACTGGCAGGAACTTTGGAAAACGCAGATTTGAAAACACTGCACCATTGAGATTTGAGTTTGCCGACCCTGACAAGGTTCTCTGCTGCACATGAACAGCAATCCTCTCCTGCCATTATCACAGAGCCATGTACGCTCCACCACCGATCACCATGTGGTCGAGCCATCCAAGTAACACATGAAGCAGTACCGTGTTGCTGGAGCTCACAGTTTTTACACATGACACATACACGATCTGTTAGGATATTCTGGAGCTCTAGGGAGTGATGAACATCGCTCCAGTTTGGAGTTGTAACTTGAGCTGAATAGAGCATGGGGCACAATTAAATAACTCCCACTGAAAGAAGAAGAAGAGAATGGAAGCATAGTTTCTGGTTGTCTCAGAATTACTCTGTTCAGAGTTACCCTGACTATTCATACAGTCTCAGAATAACCCTGAACTGTAGTGAATGGACTCCAGGGTTACTTCTTGATCAGTGGGCGTGGAACACCATCATCTGAACGAAGAATCAATTCTGCTCCTCCAATGGTTAGGGTAGACCATTTTTCTATGTCACTCTCTCTCTCTCTCTCTCTCTCTCTCTCTCTCTCTTCACTACCTCTTAACCAGTGGCCAAAGAAGCCAGATCACCCTTTGGTGAGCAGCAAGCAAGCTGTTATGACGGACACTTCAACCAAAATGTGGTAATGAAGCTCGTGCTGATAGAGATGGTGCCTGAAAAGCTTGGTGCGCTAGATCGCATTTCTCAATTTTATTCTCAGTCGATAGCTGTATCTTTCCAACCCCATACTAGTGCACGTCGAGTTTGATAGCAATAATAATGATATGTGACTCGGGTGGGGGCTCCAGTGTACCCTTCGTGTCATTTGCATAAACAGTAAGATTCGTTGACAATGGCCGGCCAAGCGGTGGAGGATGTCTCTGGTGAGGTGCATGCGATCGCCCTGGATCGTGCACCCTTAAGTATGCGCTGCGACAGGTCAAGTCGAAGTAACATTTGCAAGTTACAATATTTTTGGTGTGGACTGTGGTGGAGCCCCTGAGATGGACAGGAGAGGGCCTGGGTGCTCCAGACCATGAGTACAAAATCTTCGCAGGCGAGGAAGAGATCTGTCTTGAGCTCACTCGTCGACCTTGTCATCGTCATCGTAGCAGTTGCCTTCAACCTATGCTTCCGTTCCACACTCTTCCTCGATAGTCCTAATACGAGGACTACACGCTTGCTGAAACGGAGATATTACCACTGTTCAAGTGCTCTCCACTACAGTTAATGAATTCCAGAACACTAGTATCGCAGCATCGCTTACCAACGTAGCGAGCCTGGCTAGAGTTGGTGGAGCTCGTAGTTCCAGGCATGTGGTTATGGTTGTGGCTGTGGTTTTCTAAATGCGATCTGCGATGATGATTTTTAACATGTTCATCGATGGCTCCCTTCTAGAGTCTGACGAGTGGTGAGAACCTTAGGCAGGAATTGTTGCAGCTCAAGGACGCGAATTCTATAAGGGCGCAAAATGCACTATCACATGGGGTTGCCCTTCATGTGCTGGTCTAGTTATCTGTATTAACACTGTACTTGGCGATAGGTTCATCAACACAAGGTTTTTAAGGGTACTTTTCTTTTCAAACATGCAGTCTGATCAAGCGCCAGATTTGAGAATTCAGGCTTACCTAAAGTCTACCTACAGTCTACTGTTCCTGGCTGAGAAGGTCTTCATGACGCTGCTACTTTCTATTTACAAGTAAGTTTCTTATTGTGTAAGAGATTGTTGTAGTAAACTCTCATCGTGACATTGCACAACTGATGTAGTTCCGGAGCCTCTGCTACAAAATGGCGCCTCGTAAACTGTTCGATCTCAACAAGTTGCCTGCTTTGGATGAAGAGATGGAAGAAGTTGTCGCAGTGGAGGGACATCTCACAGGTCATCGAAGACTGGAGTGGACCACAGAGAGACGAAGCCAGAGATCGTCGACTGTTGACACAAACGTGTCCTTGCTGCTCCAAAATGGTGCTGCAAATGGCATCTCATGGCAAGCTCTCGGTGGGGTAATGAATCAGGGAGCCAAAATTGCTAACGCGAAGCCTAACGGTTGGACTTCATTGCTGGCACCACATTCTCAAGCAGCAGGGTGTTTGACCACCGAGCGGAGCTCCATGGAGTCGTGCTTTGTAACCTCAAATACAACCGAGGGAGTTGCAATATTCAATATGCGTCCGTTCTTCGAAAAGCAAGCGAAAAGACTGTTAGAGATGTGGTCAATTAGCGAGTTGGAATTGAGACTGCCTGAAAATGAGATGTCTTGTCAGTCTACCACAGATATCAATGTTGGGAATAACATCAAATATCATATCGAGGTTTCTGATGAACAAAGTGAAGGTCGCGGTCCAAATATGTATGATTTCGAACATTCAGAAACCATGATGCGCCAGCGAATTAAACCCAAGGTATGAGACGCGCCACTTTAACTCTTATTCATCCTAATCTTTAAAATCTGCACTACGAAATCGTTACAAAAAATTGTATGAGTATAGTCTCTCGCTACAGTAAGTGCAATTCCTTCATCAGGATCGAAGCATGTCATTTCCTTTTCTATTTGTCACTTGACACAATCCTTGGCTTTCTCGGTCCTCCCTCAAATCCAGGCAGTAATCGAACCAACAATTGAAGAAGCGGCCAACAATACAAGCCAGCTGCGTAAGTCACTTACTCGCATTGATAGTGGAACATTGAAGCTCACAGGAGCATCTCAAGAAGGTGCGACACTTGGGAATCAAACAAAATCCAAACACAATCTCAGGCCGGCTGACCAAGAACCTGTGGTCAATAGTACCGAACATCAAGAGGAACTCCTCAGAGAAAAAAACATTAAAGCCCTGGCATTCGATGCAACATTTGATTTCAACACAGAGAGATGCACCCCTACATCTCCCTGCAAGCGGTGTTTAGAGTTCTGTGAGACTCCCTTCCCCGCGGCCCTCGCACCTGGCTGCCCTATAGGAGACGACCCAGTGTTCGCTTCTGGCAATGACGAGGATGTTCCCCCTATTCTGAAGAATAGAAACGAGGAAGAAGTTGCTCTAAGAAAACAATCACGGCATGGTCCCAAGAGTAAGAGTTCTAAATATAGAGGTGTGACGTTCTACACCAGGACGGGAAAGTGGGAAGCCCATATTTGGTACGTTCCACCTCTGAGCTCACTAGTTCTACGCATTGGCTTGTGTTTCTTTCATGCAGATGATTACTTGCTCATTTCTTGTGCTTGATTTCATGAAATCAGTAAACTTCTAATTTCCACAGTGTGCTGTGGCAGGCATGAGTCTGCACAGGTGTACCTTGGTGAGTAAACATTACCTCATAAGCCACCACTTTTTCAGATCTTTTCGGTCTATCGAATGTTGAAGCGGTACAAATTAATCTGGAATGTACGTTCCTCGCCGAAGGTGAAAATAAGTTGGCGTCCTCATGAACTTGGTATCTCTGAAGCGCTAGTTTATCATCATTACACGGAGTGATTTTTTATTAGTGTTAATGTCACTTCAGAGCACTTAATCTCACACGTATATTCAGTTTTCACGGTACAATTTTGAAAACTTTAACATGAAATGTATTTGCAGGTGCATCTGACACAACAGAAGAAGCTGCCAGGTAGTGTACTTTCTAAGATTCATGTCTAAATACACGTACTAGCTTCTCGTCGACAGTTTCATCGGTTCTGGTCATGTGCATCGCGTTCATGTTGGCTTGGACAACTTGGTATTTTTTCCATTTTTTATTCACATAACTTCCTTTTCATTTGCACCTACAGGGCATATGATAAGGCTGCTATCCTGCTGATTGGCCCCGATGCAGACATAAATTTTAAACCTGAAGACTACCCAATGGAAATGAGACATGTTAAAACTCCCTAACCACATTCAATTTACTGAGAATGTTAGTGGAGATAATCGCAAGTTATATTCTTTATGATTAGTGTTAAGAATTCATTCAATTTCAAGCAAGAGCTGTCTCAAAAGTCTCCGTATATTCACTAGACCATTCAGCTAATTTAGTTCTCACGTTACACGTGGTGTGGCAGCTGTACAAGCTCAACAAGGAACAGCTTGTGATTTATCTGCGGCGAGATAGCAGAGGTTATGGAGCTCAGGCCTCATTTCCTGGAGTAAAGCATATCAAGAAGAATACATACCAAGCTGCGTGTGGGTATGACTTAGAACAAAGTTGAACGTTTTATTAATCGCACACTGAGGAGAATATGCTTCAAAACTTAATTCGGCCCTACCATAACAAGTAGTCGGGACCAATCTCGGTGTATCACTTACTACTGACCTGGATATGAGAGCGAAAGGATCTCTCAATCCATTCTAGCTTCGCAGTGCACTTCCTAAAGCATAGAGAAGATCTGTGGTTATACATTGCTTGTAATGCATTTCTTATTGCATATTTGAGAATAATAGACTAACCTTATAATTATTACTTCAAATTAAAATAATTTATTTCTGTTCTATTGACCCTGATGTTTGCAGAATGTTGTGCATGTAGAGATACTATCTTGGGCACTACTTACCCCACTGAAGAAGATGCAGCCAGGTCTTCAATGCTTCTCAGTTTCTCTGCTTGTGCCACGAAGTCAGATTATCTTACTATTTAGTATCGAACTTGGATAATATTCACCTGTTGACAATTGTTGCAAGAGAGTTTCTGAAACCAGTCAATAATCTAGTACTGGATTACTCTCAAAATTTTGTCTATTGTGCTTGATGAACCTCAGGGCCGTATATAAAGAAGCAGTAAGATGTTCTTACGGAGGAATGGCAAGTTGGATCATCAACACTCACCACGTCAGGAACATACCATCGTATGCTTGGCAACGGTTAGCTGCGTTAGATCCTGGTAATATCATAAATGATTGAAACATGTTCATAATGTAAACAACCATATTCAATTTTTTTGCATGAGAAATTTGACGGAATTTTGGGGTAGCGTCTAAATTAGTGTGTCTGAAGAAAGTTGTAATTCACGCCACTTAGCTTATATTTTTGTATGAACTATGTTAACAATGTTTATTACCTGCAGAGGAGGTCACGAAACTGACAGCAGGAACCAACATCGGCTCCTGCAGTGCGCTGAGGAAGAAGTGTTCCTTAAAAAGACGCAACTTATCTTCGCAAAAGAAGAACAAGAAGAAGCGCTCATCTCGCTCAAAGAAAAAGCAGTCCTTCACATCCCCAAAGAATACCACCATATTCGCCACCTCTGATACTACAAAGTCCGTCCCAGCTGGTCAGGTATAATTCAGAATTTTCGTCATTTGCGATTGCATGGTTGAACAGCTTAAATCATATTGGGCAGACAAGGTAATGCTGGATTTCCGTTTGAAATCCACATTAGCATAGAACTCCATTTCATGCCTTTGAACCGACGAAGCTTGAACGCCAGCTGCAAGTTTGTGCCGAAGTGAAGTCTTTCAATCATCGCTTTGAAGTCGTGCAACTACAATAGTACAATAACGTTCTTGGATTACCCAGATCAGGATAACGATGCGGACACTAAGCAGTTTACTCACAACGTGCAATTTTGTGTAGGATGAAGACGCTGTTCCTAAAACTTGTCACGAGAACAGCCGAGCTTGGGGCGCTCAGCCGGCTAGCTGCAGATCTCCTGACAGGCATTGCGCCTGCACTTCCTCCGGAGAAGATATCACTCTAGCAAACGGGGCCTGCAGCTCCGGTGCTCGCTCACAGCAAACAACTCGGCCAATGCATTTGCAACCTCATGTCGCAGGGCGTGGCACATCCCATGCGGAAATGCTGTGTTTAGCAACAGGCTCCGCCTTCTCATCGCGACGGAGGGTATTCGAAAAAATATCATCAGATTCAGAAAGAGTAGCGATTCAATCCAACGACTTTCCCTCGTCGTTCGGTCGATCTGCGCTGAGCTCTAGCGATCAGAGGTTCACATCCGAAACAGGATTTGTTTCAGCACACGTCAAGAAGTCATCGATAATGAACCCTTCTGTAAATATCCCCACCGACTCCACCAAATTCAAGTTGTTCAATGTAGAAATCAACGTGTCGGAGGAGATGGCCCATGCGGGACGGGGCGGTCACCCTCAAGCACAAACCAGCAACGAAGTCGGATTCCAAAGCCATGACTGCACCACACATTCAGGGGATACCCAGGACCTCCTGCACTTGCCGAGGAAGAGGACCAAGATCACTAAAAGTGTAGACACGAATGATCCATGGGAGTCAGGGTTGCAAACTGTGACAAGAAGTGAATATTGTAGTCCATTCGAGGCAGTTGCAGCCATCAGTCGACGGCATGAGGTGACTCCGCTAAACTGCAGACCATGGCTGCAACCAGACACCAGCCTGGCACCGCTGCGACCCCAAGGCAGACAATCCTGGACAATGCTGGAAACATCACCACTACCACCACCATCTTCCCCATCGACCGTCACTAGCGTGAATGCACTGCACAGATCAGGGAGCCTTTCACTTGTGCAGCCTGCAGGCTCCACGCATCTGGTGCTGCGGCGAGTGTCCGAGATGAGCCGGCGCCTTAAACTACCCGCTCATCTGAGAATCGTGCGGCTCACAAGTCCCGCACCCATGCACCATAAATCTAGCCGCACTGACACAGGATCACGCATCTAGCTACCGCGGCATCGCACGGTTATCAGCTCCGCCGACCGTTATACCGTGTCTGTGGGCTTCGATACTACTTTTCCTGTGACTCCCTTGCAGATAGAGCCTCCCTGTGACTAGAGGAAGCCATTTAAGAGTTCCTAGGCTGTCAAGAGTGCTACAAGACGTAAGAGCTTCTTTTAACTAAAATTGCACTTGGGGCTCCAAGCTCACCTTGTCACAAAAAAATATTACGTTTCAAACATCAAACTCTAAGCTGCAAAACTAATTAATGCAATGTGAAATTTGGTTGACTATCTATGAATGCATAATGCTGACAGTGGCAAGTCGTGGTAGATTCAGAAAGAATCTTTTTTGAATTTAGTAATCTGTGTCAAAATTGCATTGATTGGGTATCATGTGATTAATAGATATCTAGATATCATACAAAGAATATTGTTTAGAAAACCTGCAAACATTACGGTTCTTGTTTTATAAAACACACTATAATATGCAGAAAATTAAATCAATATGCAATAAATTAATATCATTATTTAATTAGTTTTTTATAATTACAAAAAAAAATTGTAATAACGTATGTCAACAATTACAAATATACAAAAAATATATATATATATATATATATATATAATAATTGTAAAGATTTTATTTTGATAAGCTTGTAAAAATCATAAAAATAATGTGCCAAAGATATGTATAAATTAGTGCAAAAAATATTTTTATTTCAAAAAATTATACATGTTTAAAATATCAATAAAATCAATTTGAATATGCATTGAAAAATTATATAGTTTACCTTCAAATATAGTTCTATGTATGTATATTAATATATATATATATATATATACACACATACACAGGAATATTAAATTGACCCATAGAACTCTTCCTATCTAGTACCAAATTACAATTTGACTTAGTAATACTTAAGCAAGTTCTTTAAGCATTAAGGCACACATCAATAATATGCAAGCAGAATTACATTGAAACATGCAATTTTTGGAACCCTTAATTGAACATAAACTTGTTTGACATATTCGTTGGCTCAGGTGTGAGAGGCTACTATTGTTCACATGCACAAAATAATTTGAATTCAAATTAGAGGTTGTGATGTGCGTAACAACTTCACTACAAGGAAATAGTCGGAATTGGCATCACCATTTGGTAATAAGAATGAGCTCTAATGTACAGGGCTCCATTGCAACATTGTGCAATGTTTATGTTCATGGCTTGAAGTTTAAAATTAGATGGAAAGAAAGGGATGAGTTTGGTAGAGGAAGTTAAGAGCAAAAATGAATTAGTTCAAATTTACTTGAGTCAATTTAATATTCTGTTAGATTTAATATAAAATCTCTATAAACACTGTGTTTTATCTATATTTTATCTATTTAGTAGAATAACTATATTACTTAAAAAAAATAAAATTAGTCTAATCTTTAATTTACTTTATTTATTCATTGATATTGAGGATGCAATAATATATCAACTATATATATATATATATATATATATATATATAGTTTTAATTTATACAAATGTGTAAATATGAAATCGACCATAATATTTTTTTAATTCCATGATTAAAAAACTAAAAAACTTTACAGATATAAATTCTTTAATGAATGCATTTTTTGTTAAAAAATATTCTTCAATTGGTATTGGAAAAGGACTAAAGTGCTTTTTGAATCTGAAATTGAGGTGTCTAGTAACTTTTTGATCATTTTCACTAAAAGTAAATAAATAGATTTTTTGAGATTAAACACATCGATTTTTTCAATATTAATAAACAAGTCACTAGTATATTTTACAAACCTTAGATTCAATAGTTATGCAGGTAAAATATTAATGCTTAGGAGTTCAAATTATCGTCATGTGTATGTTGAAGAGTAAAGATTTGCACTATGAAATATATATCATCAACTATTAATGTGCGTATTAATTTTTCAGAAGTTCATTAAGTTAATACATATTGTTACAAGTTAAAGTATCAATATAATAATTTGAGAAGGTTTTAATTTCAATGTGTATACGTGTATATATATATATATACATATACATATACATATGTGTGTGTGTGTGGTTTAGGCTCTCCTCAAGATTTTCAAAGTTATTATTTTACACAAGAATTCTATTCAATTTTCAAATTTTAATTACCCAAATAAAATAAATAATCACATAAATTCATAAATTTAACAAATTAAAAACAAGATTGATAATTTTAGTTAATAGTAATACTAATTATATGGGCTTTTTATTGCTCTTATAATAAATATTTTTCCATGGCGTTCGAATTTAAATTTATTTTACTTTTGAATATAAATAAAGATATACAGAAAATTTATTATATTCAAACACAAATTTATAAGTTCTCATTTATTTGCACATGTTCAAAACATTTTCTTCACATTTTAATACAATTCAAATTCAAAATTAATTTATTTTTGACACACTTTATATTCAAAAATAATAATAATGATAATAATAAATTTTGAATTTGAGCAACAGGGGCTGAAGTTTCGGGAATCCTCATCCAGTCAACATCCATCCGCAAGGCAGGACAGTGGGTATTGCACATAATCTGCAGGCAGGTCAACATATTTCGGCTGGAATCGATCTGTATTACGTGGCGCATGACATTCCGCACCGCGGGCGAGGACCAACTACCGGGGTGCCCGCGAACAGGGTGGACGGGCGACAGAGAAACCCGGTTTTAGTGCCCCGGCAAAGAAAAGCTGGAATCAAAGCATGATGCTCTCGGAGATGCCGGCTTTGCAGCACCCCGGCCAAGCCACCGAACCCGCTCTGCACAAGTCTCTGTTCAGTTCTTGTCACCGCATGACCGGGAATCGACTGGGAATCAACCGGGAACGGATGCCAACTTTGACGACATTTCACACGTCAGTGTGAACAAGTCGTGAGGAATATTCTAGCACATTCTTTTGTCCTTGGGACCTTCGAAGGGTGGAGTGTTATTGGCGGGAAGCGCATCAGCATCCACCTATCAATTACGTTTATTTTTTCATTTTCATGCTTTTTCTTCTCTCGGATTGGTTGAGATGTCCTTTTTTCCACGTGTGCAGGTGCTCTATCCTGTTTTCAAACTATCTCAGAATGTCCTTTGTCCTACGTGGAACGTAAAAGTCGTGAAGTATCCCAGCACGGCGCGACTTGCGAGCGTCTATTCCGACCGTCAGACGGGGTAGAAATGAACGCTGCAGCTTTAGGAACGGCACAGTGACCAGCAAGGAGCCAACCGTGCTTCTGTTGCTTTGTGCAATATCTCTTTCAATTCTTGGGCTGGCTTTCGTTGTGCCTTCCGATGTGTGCACGCTGCTTCCCTCTTCGTTGTCAAGGATTTCAGTTGCAGCTGCTGTGCTTTTGTCACTGCTGCTGCCGCTTCTTCTGATTGCAACGCAGGTGCGTGCTGTGTTGGCTTTTGCGTGCAGTCCCTGCGTTTGCTCTTCTGCCCTGCTTCATTTGACTTCAGCTTGGTTCTGCCTTTTTCGCATTTCTTACTTTGGTTGATGAATTTGCTTGCGACATTGAGTGTGGTAATGGAGCCTCAATCCTGAAATGCCACCAGTTGTGCGTGATACTTTTTTTTGTTTTCTTTCCTGAAGTGTTTGTTCAGAATTTCAGAATGCAGCGGATTTTGTTCAGGAGTAGTTGTGAGATCTTTGGAGCTAGATTGTGAATTTCCTGGTCAGGCTTCTCGCTGAATTTATTTGCGTTTTTCTTCTTCTTCTCGGGGAGTGCTTTGTTGCTTTCCGTTTGTCACCTGTTAACTCGTCATAGGATTTCAATAGAGGTCCTTCATTGTCTTCAAACAAAAAAAGAAAAAAGAAAAAAGAAAAAAACAAGACGAAGATTTTATTATGCATTTGAACTAATGCGCTTCTAGCTTGGAACAATCTTGAAGTCAGCACTTGGCTAGAAAATGGCTTCTCCATTTATGTGCATTTTTGTTGAGGTGATTAGCATGACCCAGAGAATGCGTGGGTGAAAATCACTGTCACCATTTAATCCTTCGGGGTTTTCTTGCTCTTTTTGTCTCCTTTCTATCCTCTTGAAGCTGACGAAAATTTAATCTTTGTGACAATCCGTCTATTTCCTCTACAGACCAAAAGTTGTTCAAGCGAAGAAGATACTTCGAAACGCGTACTTTCTAGTAGTGGATCACTCTCAACGTTGATTGTTGGACTGGTCTTTTAACCTGAAATTTTCAGTCTTCATCCAGTTCTTTTTCTAATACTAACTTGAGATTCCATGGAACTTATTGAGCACCACAGCCCTTGATCATCCCACATCACTACCTGATACCACATTTCACAGCAAGAGAATCCTGATTTCGTGCACATTTGTGATCTCCAAGTGACTGTGTTCTGTTTTTGCCTTCCGATTTCGAGAATTTGACAACCTCTTGTGGTGTTTCAGAATTTGCGGATCCAGAGGGAGAGCGGAGGGTGCATTCTTTGCCGTTCCAGCCCGAGGCATGTCGTTTGTACAATCACCATGTGGTTCCATGCGCACCGTCACCGCATCCCCCACTGATTTCTCTTCCGTAGCCTCCAGTTCCTCTAATCCACGATTTTCAGTGCCTTTTCTTCGGAGTACAGGATGCGCGAAGAGTCTCTATTTCAGCGCCATCTCGCCCACAGTAATGGGTTTTTCGTGTTCTCTAAGAAAGAGAAAAATGCAGTATGGATTGTCTTCGGGAGACATTAGTAGTGTTTGTTCGAAAGGGAAAGAAATCGCAGACGATAACTTTCTGGTGTCTGCCTATAGTGATGCATCTGCTGCTGCGCCCCTCCGGTCCTCTGAGCAGGAAGAGTTCGCAAAGGAGTGGGCTCACAAGCCTCGACGTGTTGTCCTTTTCGTTGAGCCTTCCCCATTTTCGTATGTGCATTCTCATGTGTTCTTATGTTAATTTTACTAAATATACAGCCCTGTACCACCAGAAGTAAGGCGTAGGTGACCTAGGTGGTTTAGGTGACAGTTTGGAAGACGTACATTGTTGATGGATTTGAAAGTGATTATCACATGATATTGCTTTAGGGTTTTAGATCCATCTCTAATACGCATGAATAGAGTGTGTAATTTAATTTTTGAAGTCATTTAGAAAGGGGCTATTAGTCTCCCTCATAAAAGCTGTGAAGTTGGGTGATCGTTGAAGTCCGGTGTTTAGATTCAGCTTAGAGAATGAAGCCTTTGAAAGTATTTTTCTGGTTCTAAATATGCTGGTTTAGAAAATCATGATGACTGTAATCTTGCGTGGTTTATTATACAGCTACATCTCAGGGTACAAGAATCGTTACCAAAACTTCATACGTTACCTGCGAGAACTTGGAGACGAGGTACTTGCTCGCACTTAACTTATCGTGTTTTAGGCCTCATTAATGATGGTTCTCTCTAAAGCGTGGCTCTGCTGGATGGGAAAGTTATGTGGAACTCGGATTATGAACGTGATTTATGTGAATTTCTCACGTTAGAATAATCCATGAAGAAGAAAGTCAACTCTCGAGAATCTGGCTTGATTTAGCGAAGTCTTTATGCGCTTCATATGTTTCACTAGTGAATCTTTGCTTAATTTTGATTCCCAAACTTTATATCCAAGTCGAAAACACACACACACAGATATGTATATATATATATATATATATATATATATTCATTGAGGGAGAGAGAGAGTTTTGGTCCTATTTTTCTAGAGTTGTTTTATTTTGGCAGGTCCTAGTCGTCACGACTCATCATGGTGTGCCTGCGGAATTTTATGGGGCAAAGGTTATCGGTTCCTGGAGGTAAACTTCTTCATTAGCTAGCATATGAATTTCGTTGTGTTCGGTACGGTGATCAAAATCCCCACTCGCATTGAGCCTGTCATTTCTGGTGCCTGCTTGGGAATATTTAAACAAGTCTTTAACAGGTTCAGGTTGTTGTGTCGTAACGTTAAAGTTTTAGTATTTCTTATTGGCAGTTTTCCACTGCCTTGGTATAAGGCTGTTCCTATGTCGCTTGCGTTGAGCCCACGCATATACAAGGAGGTGAAGGACTTCAAACCCGATATTATTCATGCATCATCTCCTGGAATAATGGTAAGTGTTGCTTGGATTCTAGTGAATGATGTCAATATGACCTCGTCTTGTTCTTATATATTCATTCATTAGATCTTACATATTTGAGACTTTGTAAAGAGTCCTACTTATGAAAACCACTTGTTCGAATCCAGAAAAGAGTAGCACTACTCTTGAATGTCTGTCGAAAGAAGCGTTAATTCAGAGTCGTTCGTAGAGCTGGCCGACTGAAACCAGCTTGGTCCTTACATATCAGCTCTTTCAATTTATTGCTTGGACGCTAAGGACTGCGTTTCGCAGGTTTTTGGAGCCCTGATTATAGCTAAGCTTGTTGGGGTTCCAGTTGTAATGGCTTATCACACACACGTCCCGATGTGAGGGACGCCCCCCCTTGCTGTTGTTCGTCGTTTAATTTCTGTACCCATTGCAAACTAGCATACAACTACTTCGGATTGAATCTCATGCTCACATGACTTTCATCCGAGTATTCATATCAATTTTTTGTATAATTCTTGATGGACAACTCTGTTCTGCAGGTATATTCCAAAATACACCTTTAGTTGGCTTGTCAAGCCAATGTGGCTAGTTATCAGTAAGTTTCTCCGTGCCCTTCCGAATCGTGCTTTAAGTGCTAGAGGTTCAAAGTCAAAAATCCGCCTTTTCCATGACTCAAATTTTGGCCGCGTCAGCATATCTAACTGGTGTTAGAAAAACAAAGCTGACTGATACAAGAGAAAAAGTATTAATATGTTCATCTCTGTGACAGAATTTCTGCACAGAGCTGCAGATCTAACATTGGTTATGTCCGTTGCACTTGGGAAAGAATTGAAATCTGCTGGAGCCTCCACTGGTAAGCTCTGAATTGCTCCCGTCAACGTCATTGATGAATCTGTAAATTATTTGGGCTTGAATTGGTTACAAAGAAATCCTTATCACACGTTGAATATGGCTGTTGCATATTGTGAGTAGTCATACAGTTGTCAATAATCCTTGGTGTGAGCATGTGAAGCACTCAGTTGTCCCAAATACAATTCTATTAACAGTATATCTGTGGGTGCAGCTGAAAGGATCCGTATCTGGCGGAGGGGTGTGGATTCAGATAGTTTTCATCCTCGCTACAAGAGTGCAGAGATGCGACACAAACTAACGTGAGTGTATGTTTTTCTGAGGGATGAAGAGCATTTTAAGTATGGGTATAATTTTTCGAGTTGTCCATAGCATAGATTGGGCTACCACAGTTGCTGTGAGGTGGTTCATTGCAGTTCAATGAGATAACTTCAGGCACTGTCGGTGTAGTATGTAAATCTTTTGAGGTTGTCTAAAATTTTGTTCAAAAGGACGCCCCGAACATGCTGTGTCAGTAAGATGTGGATAGTCATCTTGAGTAGAAAATTGTGTAACTGATCTTTGATCCCATGTTATGATTTTTGCAGTGATGGAAAGCCAGAAACCCCAACAATTATCCATGTAGGTCGTCTTGGGGCGGAGAAGAATCTTGACTTCCTTGTAAAGTAAGTTACTTTTTCGTCAGCTTTCGCCTTGTATATTTTGATGCTTTGTTACACGGTGCTCAATATTTAGTATGATTTCAGCTCAATAACTAGTGATTACATGATTTGGATAACATAGCATTAAAGGTTAATTTCATGTGGGTATAGTGAAGGGCGATATAATCCTATGTTTTAGCCTCCATTTGCATTTTCACCAGCGATACTGATTGAAAGTATTTTTCAAATTTTGTAACAGAGTCATGGAGAGAATTTCTGAAGCAAGACTTGTCTTTGTGGGTGATGGACCTTACAAGTATGTCAACTATCACCATCCTACAATTTTGTGCCAATTATGTCTTAAATTCTGTGAACATCTCTGTCGATATATGACTGAGAACGAATTAAGTAATTCATTAATGATATCCCCCTTTGCATTGTTGCAATGATTTAGATTTCAACTTTTGTATGGGCCTTACTTTTGCATGATTCTGGACCAAAATAGGCCAACATTGGAGAAACTGTTTGAAGGCAAAAATGTCCACTTCACAGGCATGCTGTCAGGCGAAGAGCTCTCACAAGCCTATGCCAGCGGTGATATATTTATCACACCATCAGAGTCTGAAACTTTAGGATTTGTGGTTTTAGAAGCAATGGCATCTGGCGTCCCTGTCGTCTGTGCAAGAGCTGGTGGGATCCCGGATATTGTAAATCAAGATGGTGTGACGGGCTTTCTGTACACTCCCGGAGACGTGGATGACTGTGTTGGGAAGTTGAAAGCTCTCATTGAATCTCCAGAATTGCGAGACAGAACTGGCCGTGCAGGTAACATTCTGACGAATAATGCTTGCTGCTAAGTGGGCATCCTGAAATTTGTAGGAGTCAGAAGGAATTAGTTGGATGAAATTGAGTAAGTTGTAGAGGAAAGAATGTACATAGATTGGTTTCTTTCTTTCATTCTTTCTTTCTTTTTTCCTTCTCTTTCTTTTGATTTTAATTTTTATACTAAGTTGATGCTACTCTCAATGAATATGACGAGCAACTGTGGCACTTACCTTTGTGGAGCGCTAACGTTATTTGTTTAACATTTCACTAAAGCTAGATCGAGAGGGTGCGCCAACTAGTTTCTCAAAAACAGTCGGATCTGAATATGATATTCTCGGTCAATCGATTTCGTGTCTTGTCGTTGGACTTGGTAGGCTCGTGGGCCATATTTAAGTGTCATGGTGTCAATAGTGTTATTAATAGTAATGCGGAGACTTCCCATCAACGGTATCAAGGAGTTGCAATTGCAGAAGTTCAGGTTTGCCAAAATACGTGGATCCTTTTGCAGTAATTCACCAACTCAATTTTATCTGTCCTGTAGGTCGAGAGGAGGTGGAGAAGTATGACTGGCGAGCAAGCACTAAACAAGTTCGCAACGAGGAATATAGTGCAGCTATATGGTTCTGGCGAAGAAGAAAGCAGCAGCTTGCTAGCAGATTTTCAGGATGGTTCAAGCATCCCCAACCACAGACAACTTGAAGTGTTCTAAATTGTAAGGAAGCCCTCTGTTATTTCCATTGACAGCACCCTTTCTCAGCAACATTAAGATTTCAGGAGAAGATTTTACATGGTCTTGTAAAAGATGAATAGACTTATAGTACAGTTCAGTTGGACACCAAGATTAGGAGTCTAAATGTATGTGATGATGCGGTTCTTGTTATTTTACAAATTAGTTTATGCCCAATTCTGTATTGGATAGAAAAATTGTATAATTTGTGTTGATAAAGAAATGAGATACGTTTAAGTTTAAAATGCCCGACGGGTCCATTTGAATGTGGCCTTCGCACCACCTCTCCTCGCTGGATTTGCCAGTGATGATTCTCTGAAGGTTTTGTGGATACTTGGGGAAGGTGTGAATATCAAAAGTTAGAATCATATGGATTCAACTGTAGGGCACCCTGGTCACTAGACTTCATACTTGTACGTGGGTCATCAAGATATCATGGCATGGTGAAGCTGCAAGGTCTCTCGCTCCCTATCTTTGCCAATGACACCGGTCACCTAGCATCATCATGGCAGTAACCCGGATTAAGTGTCAGGAAGTACAATTTTGCCTTCAATCACAGCAGTAACCAACCCTATCAAGGACAGTCGTCGTCTATGTTGTGCACGACAGAGTTATGCTTGATCAAGGGTTGCATGCTTGGGCGGAGCAATTGGAGAAACCTTTCCAAGGTCCTAGAGTGGAGGTTCACAATGTGAGTTTCATAGCGACAGGGAGCCACCTGGTGACGCGCAAGGATTTCAGGCTGCAATTACTGCCTCCTGTTTCTAGTTCTCTTTTTTCTGACAAAAAACGGACCTGTTTCTGGGTTTGAAAGTTACGGTAGTGTTAGCAATGAGCCGAAAATGCTCGTATTCTTTATGCAAGATGGAGAGGATCAGGAAGATCCGTGTAAATAGACAGGATTAACTGTTTAGATCATCGTGCCTGTGCAAACATCAAACGTCGTCCATGGGTTACGTTGAGGGTTTTTTACCAGATCAAACATGTTGTATCCACCTGTTTGGAATCAAATCCCTTGGGCTCTTTTCACTATCCTACACCTCCACGAAACAATGCTAGGCGACATTATACTGTGTACAACAGTAAATAGTCTCATGAGTGTAATTAGTACCGAGGTCAATTTGCCATGTTCCTGTGGAGGTAGACGACTTCAAACACACTTGATTTTGTGCCAAGAAAATAAGAAACTGTTTATTGATGCGATACTATCGTTTCAAGGTTCATCATCTGATTACGTTAAGTATATAAACTGCATAGCTCTTGACTGAAGTGACACAAGCTCGAAAATCCGAAACCTCTCTGAGAAACTTTTGTTTGTCAGCTCTCAGGCATCGGCAAGATAGCGCCGCTCCGATTCTTGTATTGGGACATCATTAGCGCTCATATCGCGCCTACGCATGAGACCGTTTTCATCGAACTCCCATAATTCATTACCATGCGTCCGAAACCTACCAGGAAAACAATGGCCAAAAAGAAGCAATTCACCAACCCAGCCAATAATCTGGTTACTGATAATTGCAGGATAAACTTTTCCAACAGACTGCGCAGAGGTAGATTGCAATCAACTGAGTTCTTACCACTCTCCAGCCTCGTTGTGCCACTCGTACTCAAATCGCACCGCAATGTGGTTGTCGGTGTACGCCCAGAGCTCCTTCATCAGTCGGTAGTCCAGCTCCTGCGCCCATTTGCGAGTTAAGAATTCTTTAATGGCTTCTCGCCCCTTGAAAAACTCCGTGCGATTGCGCCACTCGGAGTCTTTGGTGTACGCCAGGGCCACAACCTCAGGGTTGCGCGAGTTCCATGCGTTTTCGGCGGCCTTCACCTTGGCCAGCGCCGTTTCGCGTGTGAAAGGAGGACAGGGAGGCTTTCTTTCGACGTCAGCCATACCCAGCTACACAAACGACCACAAAAGTCTCGCGAGATTAGAAAATTTCACTTCACACAACAAATCAAGATTTATGAGCTGTCAACACTGTTCTTCCTTGAGAACCAAAATGCAGGAGCAAAGCAAGCTTGTGCTTCTCCTCTTTCGCAAAAGCAACCCTATAAGTAAGCATTTGCAAATCCTGTAACGAGGACGCAGCTCGGCTTGCTGCCAATTTGTACAAGTCCGTGTACGACTTGGTGAATACAGCGTGTGGAATTCTCAGCATGATAGCTAAGTTGCAAAGTGCCGAGGAAACGAGGAGCATCGTATTCGTTAGTTGCACGACGAGAGATGCTAAAGTCGTAAACATTGTAAATGAATCCACCTCCCCGCATTTGGTTATAGAAACTATCGAAGTGGAAGCCGATAACTAATCATCTAGTGGCTCCTCCTCAGTACCCACCAGGTCGGTGGGTAGCTCCTAGTGAGCAAGCATCATAATAACAAGCCCTGTGCCTCAAAATTGAGAAACACTCAAAAAAATGCCTCATAAGAACTAGGTCTTCAAGAACTACACATGAGCGTCTAGGCTACTTTCGACCAAATCAGAATGCCAACTGAGAGATTCAACATGGATATAGAAGTAGTGAGCAGTTTGAAGGCGGATGCTTACAGGCAAGGTATGAGGATGGGGTACCGATTGAAGAGCAGATGGTGCAGACCGAGCCGGCGATGGCGAACGCAAATGAGAATCTGATCGCAAAGGGCATCGGTAGATATATACAGAAGACTGTGTCGAGGTAAGCGTAGGGAAAAGTAATTCACATGTATAATATCTTCCTTATTTCTAGACGCCCCCGCCGCCCTCCCCTCCGCTCAACAGGCAAACGTTTAAACAATTCGGAGACCCTGTTGAACTCTCTTGATTCCATTTGTTGAAGCCCATGAGAGTGGGACACTAGCGCTAATGTCGATGCCAAAGCCATGAGCAACAAAGTGTATAGAATAACAGAGACAATCTGCTACTTCATCATGCTAACAAATAAGTTCTAGAACCGATGACGGGTGACCCAGCTCTTCACGCCGGAATCGAATATGCCAAACTGAAGAGTTTAAGCCAAACCGGGGACCACTTCGAAGGAAATTCAAGGTTTGTCATGGATGAAGGTGGACGAAGGAAATGCGGCGCATGAAGGGTAATGTCATCATCCATCCTCGACACTGCAAGGTGAACGGAGAAGCTTCAAGAGCCGCTGAATGTTCTCTTCACACTTGCTCCAGACTTCGATTGTGCTTGCTAGTGCGTATCAGTTGTGGGTTCTTTTGTAATCCAATTCAGGTATCATATTGTAGGGAAATGTTTCGTCGAATTGAGGTTTTTTTTTAAAGAAGATATTTCAGAGAATTTTTGCAGTCAGAATTGTTGTTCGTGTGAATTTGATCGCGGTTGGTTTAGCGATTCATGAGTGTTCGCGTTTGCTTTTGTTGGTTGCGTGAGAGTGATGGCTGTGATGCGAGGGTGTGTAGATGAATTTTTGTCTTTTCACTTGTACGATTTCTGTGTAGGTCGGTATTAATTTTGGAAATGTGCACCAGAGTGACAGATGGTTTAGTTAATCAGCGTTTGCCCAGTCGATGTTTGTTTAGTTGTGGCGAGTGTAGGACTGACGGAGAGCATTATTACTATCGGCGTGATACGCACGAATTTATGTACAAAAAAGTGTATGTTTTCCGGTTGCTGTGGACGTGGCGAGGTTCTCTGTTAAATTACAATTTTCGATCATAATGTATTTTTGCGGTGCAAAATTGATTGAGGGGCACTCTCAGAAGTTTGGCATATCCATTATTAGGAAATCTTCGAAGTGCCACCATTGTCTGTGAATGCATCTTCAAGAGAGGTTTAATTTTCAAGTCCTATATATCCAAAGTACAACCTCGTCGCAACTATGAAACCCGTGCATAAATCGTGGTGTTCTGAAGTAACTTTCAATCATCACAGATTAAACAAATAGTCACTGCGAAGTGTATTTGATCGAGTGGAAATCCTACACACCGTGAATTTGTTGTATAATTTCAAGGCGCCAGACGGTGGAGGTGCAGCTTTCTAGAATTTTGTAACCCCAGAGGAAGTTAATGAATGTCGGTGGCATGGCCCAGACTCTCACGCAGAACAGCTTGGTGTCTTTTGAGGATTTTAACCTTCTATAACCGAAACAGTTGAACTTGGGCGTACATTTTATAAATATGTTTATATTGTTTTCCATATTGCTATTGCATCCTGTATGCAAGAGAGGACATACAGCATTTCATTGCGTGCCATCCTCCAGACTTCGCATATAAGATATGTATTACATGAGCACAGGACTAGGTTACGGGGTTTTAGGTGCTGCAGTGACATGTCTATGGTTACACAAATTTTTGTTGGTAGATGAGGAATATGTCGGTTTCCCGTCTTGAGATTAGGGTTTTAAAGATGTGTAAGCATGAAATTGACATTTTCTATGCGCTACTACAGGATTAACATCAATTTGCTGTAAGAGAGCACGAAGAAGCTTAGGGTTGTTATTTCAGTTTCATGAAGTTGCTTCACCTTCCAGTAGGTGCGGTGTTCCTTGAGGAAATAATTTGGCGATGAGGAGGGTTAACGCTCTTTCTCGGGCACTTTCGTTCGCTCGAATCCACACTCCTCCAGCTGCAAGCTCGCATTGCACGTCGTCTCCCGCAGTAGAATGCTTGAGTGCATCTTCATTGGGGAGAATACCATCGGATGGCAGTACCAACGTGCCTGCTTTGAGGGAGTGTAAGTTCATATCATGTGGTCTCAATTGATGCACGACAGTATAATTTCAGAACATGCTTCGGGATAACTTCAAAATAACTGATTTAAAATCATGAGCTTTCTACGGGTTGCGGCGTTACAAGATTTGATTTCGGTCATTAGTTTCTCATTGATTTGGAGACGTCTTTTATGATTCTTTTGCACTCCTGCAATGTATGGTGCCAGCAATATGATCCCCCCCCCCACCTTTATCTTGCTTACAGTGCTTCTGGTGCTTCGCTGCAGGGATGCAATGCATGTTCAGGGCTCTCTTCACCCAGGGTTTTCAAGTCACGCCGAAAGATATCCGATCAAATCTTGCTATGGGGGTAGGCCTACTTCTGGGTGTAACTGTGGCAACTCAACAAGCTTTGGCTGAAAAAGCTTCTGTAAGTGTATCATGGACTTAGTGTGTACCATGAATTTCTCGATCCGCGTATTTGAATGCGAATTAAATGCTGATCGTTATTCACCCGTCAGAACATTGCCCGTTCATTCAAATTAACGTCCGACTCAGACGTCATACTTGCCTCATTAATATTGATGAAGCCATTAATTCCTACTATGCAGACTGATAGAAATGTAACTGGAGCAGCAGAAGGAGATCATTTGCCTTCAGAGGTTGCGCTGGACACTGAGAAGGTGGTGCAGCAAGTGCGCTCTGGAATGGATGAACGCCTTGCAGCTCTCAAGCTCCTCAATTATGTCCTCCCTCCTCTGACCATAGCTGCCAAAGGTCAGCAGGTACTGTCTTTTGCTTTCCAGTTTCTGTCCACCTCCAACCCCCGATTCCTTTGAGTTGTGGGATGGACCCAGCAAAAACAAACAGCAATTTGAAGCAGATATTATTTATTTATTTAGTGTATGTACTGTGTGATGGTCGTAGCCTGGCGGTGTATCAAACGGTCTGGACCGCAAGGGTCCATGTAAACTTAATCAACACTAAAACATGATAAATAACCATTCCCTCCGACATATATTGCACTTCTACATGTTTTAGATCCTTTCAATATGAAATCTTCAAGATAAACATCTGCGATGGCGACATTTGATTGACTGATTCTCACCGATGTTTTGAATGCTAGGTCTGCTCGGGTTGTGCAGTTTAAACTTTCCTTATTGAAAAGATTAACGATTGTTTTACGACATTACACATGGTCTTTTCAAAATCGTCTGATGGAAATAGGGACACGTTTTATTGTAGTAGTCTTTGTGGGTTTAGTGCGTCGCGAGTGCCCCAATCTCAACATCTTTTAGCTTAAAATTATCCCTCTTTTTACTTGAGCATTTTTATGTTACGTCTACCTCTGAGCTTTAATTAGATTTAAGTATCAACTTTACGGATAGGCACTCTGTTCATTTCTGTGTGTTCTTTTGGTAAATCTGTCTGTTATTTAGCTGAACAGTGCCTCTCAGTAATATAATATGGCTCTGATCATTACAGGTCTCAGTCCGATTTCCTGTCTCTCCCTCGTGTGATATTTCACATTTACTTGTGGATGTGGTGGCTCGGCTTGGCGGACCAATAAATGATGGCGGCATTGGTGGCAACGAAGTGGTTGTGAGAGCCTGGGACAGGTGTGTTTCATGTAGTTTAGGCTCTATTAGCTGCTCTTTTTCAATCGCTTGGTCACACTAGCATGATGGGTCCACCCAGCGGTCCAACATGCTGGGAAAGAATGTTGGAAGATTAATATTCAATGAAATGCAATGTCGGTACATTAATTATCTGCAAGATGCAATTTTGGTTGAAGTAGATTTTTATCCTTCCAACTCTATTTTATGTGTTGCAGTGCTGTTGCCCGGCAGCTCTTAATATCAGCCAGAGACTCTCAAGTTCAAGACATCAACGGGCTTCCAAAGGACTCCAGTGCAGATCATCCTGTGGATAGAACATCCAAGGGATCTGATCCAGAGACCAGCCGGCTTTGTGTCTTGGTGTTCGAGCCCCTGATAGGTGATTATAAATCCTCCGTAAGTTCTTTTACCTTCTTTGCAGATGGAATCTTCATTTATTTGCAAACGTCTATGACATACACAAGAAGTGATGTAGCATATCAAATTTCCATTAGTAGGAGAATCTGCCGTTACATCCTTTCATTAACCTGAATTGAATCTGATCATATGCGAGTTATTCGTTTTCAGGAAATAGAATTTCTGAAGAAAGGGTACCTTTCCAGAGAGGAGCTTGACGCCATTGTTAGCTCATTGAGCATTGCCAGTGGCTTTGATCCTAACGACAGTCGAAAAGCACCCAAGCGGACAAAGGAGGGGAACACAGTAGAAGGCATACCTGAGGGCCCAGGAGAACTTGACAGCGGAAATCTGGATGAGTGGCCGCCTGGCAGCCGGTGGAAGTACCGAGGAGGCGTGCCTCCTGGAGAATCTCCACCGAAGGAGCGTTCAGGCTCCAACAGGGTGCCTGCGAGAGGGAAATCGAAGACACTGGAAGGTTTAGAAGCTATGGGGGTGAAGATATATGGAAGTGAGAATATAGAAGGTGCTTTGGAGGGTGAACATATTTCCTGGGACAACATTGCTGGTTACTACGAGCAGAAAAGGTGTGATGGTTATTGTTTTTCGAATGCCCGAGTGTTATTCTGAATATGAGAAGGCTTTTGAAATATGAGTATAGTTATAATTATGTGATAGTATATAATGAAATTTGTGGAGTACAAGCAATAGGTCGAATATATGCGGTTGAATCTGTTACCAATATTACATATTTATAACAGATTCTTGAAAGTGTTCCTCCCAAAGTTAAAAATTAATGTGAAATTCATTACTATCAGATGTATGCTTTTGGCGTAGGTTTGGAATATAAAATAACAGACAAGGTGAATTAACTTGATTTCTTTTGACGATTATTCTCTTTGTTCCTTTTATTTGGGTAATTTAGTAACTGAGGTCATGGTGTAGGGAGATCGAAGATATGGTACTGTTGGCCTTGAAGCGACCGGAGGTTTATGACAATATAGCTCGTGGAACGCGGCGGAAATTTGAGACAAATCGACCTAGAGCTATTCTTTTCGAAGGTCCTCCAGGTAAATGACACTCTGTTTATAGATAGTTAACCTACTTAGTGAGTTTTCATCATGTTCTCTTATTCCTGTCTGAAGATGTGGTTCCTTCCCCATCAAATATTTTATGCAAATATGTAACTGTTTTATCTTATTTTACTTCACAGGTACGGGAAAGACTTCTTGTGCCAGAGTGATTGCAAGCCAATCAGTAAGTACACGTTCAACTTATCTGAAGCCAGGCTTTTTTAGCCAGACAATTGCACAACCGTTACAATTGATCATCTTATTCGTTTGGGAAGTTGTTTGATAGAAACGTGGAGATTGATTTTTGTGATGGTTGAGATCCATGTAGGGCGTCCCTTTGCTCTATGTTCCTTTGGAAGTTGTGATGTCCAAGTATTATGGTGAAAGTGAGCGGCTTCTCGCTTCCGTTTTCAGTGCTGGGAATGAGCTGCCGGAAGGTGCAATAGTCTTTTTGGACGAGGTTAGTGCATAATTTATTTCAGCAATTGTCATTTCCCCTACTCAATTTTGTTTTTGCTTTCACGAATGCGGTAATTACTTAACATCTGCATTTTCTTTGTATTTGCTCCAATGCAACCTTTCTCTTGGTCATTGAATCATCACAGTGCTCTCATTAGCAGGCCTGTACGTTCATTTTTGCAGATTGACTCTTTGGCCACCACTCGTGATAGTGAAATGCATGAAGCTACCCGCAGGATGCTCTCCGTTCTGTTGAGACAAGTAAGATGACACGCTTTGTCTTGGTCAAATCTGTTATTCGCTTCCTTAGTGGTCTGAATATATGACATTCTTTCTTGTGAGCATTTTTAGAAATCATGGAATGAAACGAGCATTGAGGTTTGTGTTGCTAATGGTCAAATCCATAGCTTGAAATGGTCCCTTCAGTAGATTCTTTAAATTCTGCTCTCTTGAACAGCATCTTTTGTCTCAGTCCTTTGAATAAGAAATTGTTGTGGCAGATGGATGGTTTTGAGCAAGACAAGAGGGTTATTGTAATAGCTGCCACCAATCGGAAACAAGACTTGGACCCTGCACTACTTAGGTGAAGTTCTTACTACTAATAATTCTGTTGATCACGTTTAATTGCTTACATAAACGCTATGCAGAACTTTTAACCTCATACATGTATGTTCGTTAAAAAAATTCACTGAATTATCAAACTGTTTATTACAATAGAAGCTCTCTTTCTATATCTTATAATCAAGTTAACGTAACTAGGTGGTGTTTGAAGATGCCGATTAGGTCTTCCACAACACTGACATCTGTCAATATGCTTACGAGGCTGATTATGTTTCGTTCTTGGTTCTGTGCAGCCGTTTTGATACATCTGTGGCATTCAATTTACCTGATGAAAATACCCGAGAAGAGATAGCATCCCAATATGCCCGTCACCTATCTTCCCCGGATCTCAAGAATCTGGCTTCTGTGTGTGATGGGTAAGACTATATATCATAGTGCTGCTCAATTCCGTTGAAGTTATTATTCTAGGATTAGGATCATGCTGTTATAGTACACCTGAAGTACAGCTTCATCTTGAGCCGCTTTATTGTCCTTGCCGTGAACAGTCACTTAATGCACACATTACTGATAATTTACATGAATTTTTTTGTACCAGCATGTCTGGCCGTGACATTCATGATGTGTGCCAGCATGCGGAGCGGCGATGGGCATCGAAGGTAATTTATTTCGACTTAAGGTTGGTTATTATAGTTGTAGATAAAGGAAAGCAGGGTAGCAGAACCTGATTGATGCTGGAGTAAACTTAATGTTTATTCCTTGATAGACAAGAATACTGACTGCTTTTTTATTCTTTCTTATGGTGTGCAGCTCATCAGGGGTCAGGCAGGTAACGGACCTGCACAAGGCCTCCCTCCCATTCAAGAATATATTGAATGTGCGGAACAGCGGCGGCAGACCATTGTCAGATATGCTCACAGTAATAGCGATTTCTTCCGATTGGGCCAACTCGCACAATCTCCCTCGCCAAAATCCTCTCGTCACCGAACTCTAGGCTAGTTCTGTGGAATCCAGCAACAATTTTTTGATCTGTACTACTTAGGGAAAAGGATGCACTTTGCAGGTTATAGCAAAGCTTATTTGCTACAGAATTTTTTGACTGGTGTTGTATTTACATGGAGCCTTCTTTTAGATGTAACCAGCAAACTAAATGCATTTGTATGTGTTCACCAGTGCAGTTTTAGTTGTTGACCTACAAATTACCTTGTGGTGATTACATGGTCTTTGTTGTCCCATGATCTCATTACTGCTAGCTTCAGCATCCATCACCTAGAATTTTGTGTTGAAAATGCCTGCACTTGAGACCACTTTGCATTTATAGCATTAAACAAAGCTAGCCTAATTCTAGACAAGTGGGTTGTTGGAATAAGTTCATTGTTGACATAAGGTGTTTGCCATATATGTATCCAGATTGTGTGCATGTTGGAAGTTTTGGGAAATTTTATGCTTTGAAAATCAAGTTTTGCAAAATTCCTTGGTACATCATTATCAACAGTGTAAAGGGAATAAAAATTTTGGTTAGGAAATATTTGTAAGATAATTATCAACCACACTAGAGTTAGGGTTCTATAGAATTTTGGTAAACCAACTAATGAAAGAAGACTTAATTTAATTGACCACAACATGTCTTAACTACCTTTTTAGTTAAATGAATCATTATGAAATTATAATTTGAAGTAGTTGAAGTCTAATAATTTCTAAGATATCAAATATTACAAGTAGTTATTTAAAGAAGGTAAGTGGTGGCTTGGTTTTTATTGGATATCTATTCTTTAACAAAGAAGTCAAATATAATCAAAGAATTGAACAAGAATCAACAAGACATTGATAAGACTGAAGAAGGCTTAATTCTTGCCTCTATATGTACTATCTGACTAAAAGCTGCATGGCGATATTTTAAAGGACATCCAAGACGTGTCTAATTTGCACAACATGTGTCTTAATTTGTAACGCAAGTTTCTTATATGTGCACCACATTCTTAGCTTGTACTACAAGCTATCAACAAATGTGACACATGGCTAAGTTGTTGGCCAAGCTTCTAACCTACCAATCACCTATAAACACATATAAAAGTAAAATTATATTTATGTAGCTTCTAGAAAGCTTTCCTATAAGATATTATGAAATTAGTCTATTTTTATCTATTCATAATATGTAGGTATTATTGGAATAAATATGTATATCTATGACATTGCTCCTCTTTTTAGAAACAAGTTGTACAAGGAATAGTGATTATATGTTGAAAAAGTCTAAGATGCAACAAATTATATTTGCCACATACTCTAATCTTTGTTCCTTTTAAAGGTAGTTGATAAGTCCTCTTAGTCATTGATAATGTCTCATTCCAAGGAAAGAAGACCACACTATTATTTGATCATTGTTAAGGTCTTTATAACTTTTTTTAAACAAAACATTTGTAATTCCATCAAAAATTATTCATACCTCCAATAAAATCACCAAAATTGAAAGTCTCTTTCTACTTTGTGATACTAAACACATGGTATCTTGCCATCTATTTGAAGAGGAATATATTATTTTTAAAGGTCTTCATCTTGATTATGTCATCTTGAAGGTTGTGATAATTATAATATCTTATCTAATGAATCAACAAACGATGGTTCTTAAGTTGAATTTGCTGACTATTGGTTCTCCATTTCTTTAGCACCACAAATACATAGAAACTACAAGCAAAGATAGAAGGTCAAATAAAATCTTTTTTAAATTATAATTTTTTTATAAGAAAGTTTTGTTATCCTTCATCTTAATTTTGATAGATATTATCAATGAAAAATATCAATCTTCTTTCCTGCATTTGTAAGATTCTTAGTTGGCTCCCATGTACATTTACTAATATCATATTTGTACCAATGAACAACATATTCTAATCTATTTTGGCATTGCCTTAACTCTAAGACTTCTTTGACCTCATACTCTTGGTTATTATCTACTTTTATAGGAAAAGGGGGCATTTGTTGTCATCTTAATATATCTATTGTTTTATATGGCTCAAGAAGAGATATGGAACATGGGATGGATCTTCATAGACTTCAATAAGTATAATTAATAAGCAACTTGATTAATCTGATCACATATTAGATATGATTGAAGTCTACAATAATCTAACTTATCATAAGAGTGAATAGTCTTAATGTTACAATAAAATAATCATATCTTGTTGCCAACATAGAATTGAGGTTACTCCTAATGATAAGCATCTCCATTGATTTTTTGTCATTCTTAAGCTTTTTTTAGTTGCACCTTTATTATTGTATGTAGTTCTAACAAATAATTTGTCAAATCTTTTGTTGCAAGATTATCAATTTTTGAAAAGTCGAAAGTATCAAGTTATGGATGATAATCATAATTAGCAAAAAAAGGTGTTTATTGAGTAGAAGAATGTATCATGTTATTATTAACAAACTCTACCAATGATAAAAGAATTATTCAATCTTTTTATTGGTAGTTGATGGTACACCTTAAATATTATTCCAAAACTTGATTCTTTTACTTTTTTTAGCCATCAATTTGAAGGTAAAAAATTAAAGATAGTTTTATATCCATCTTCAAAATCTTAAAAAGGATTCTCCAAAATCTTAATACAAATTGCATCCTTCTATTCAATATAATATTCCTTAATAATCTATGATAGTAATAGATGTTATTAAAAAAAAACTTAGATGTTTTTTCACATATAATAGATTTTGTATATCGTACAAAATATGCCATCTTGGTGAATTGATCTACTATCACAAATATAGAATCAAAAGAACTTGAGATTGGAAGATCCATGATAAAGTCTATAGAAACAAAAGACTGTAGTTATTTTAGAATAAGTAATGGTTGAAGAAGTCTGTAAGGACAATAATAAGGAATTTTTAATTTTAAAAAAACATTATATGATTATACAAAGTCTTTCACTACCCTCCATATTAAAGCCACCAAAAATCTTTTAATATTAGCTCCAAAGTCTAATTGTATCCAAAATGTCCAATTGTTGGAAAGTTGTGGCAAGCTTGAAGAATATGTAATTATAATTTGCTTTTTGGAATTTATAATCATCTTTCAAAATAAAGTATATTATTCTTGAATTTAAACTTAGAACTATCTTGAGACAAAAGAATTATTCTTAATATTATAAACAAAAAGATCAAAAGACATACTTCATTGAACTTACTTGAGAAAGATTGAATCAATATTTAAGGTTGATTTCATCGCTTGAAGATGAAAATGCTCCAATTTTAAAAGAATAATTTATTATTGATCAAAAGATGCATCTCTTTTTTTTGATACAAGATAAGAATGTTTAAAAAGAGCATATGACAAACTTTCTTATTTTTTAAGTTGATAAGTGATTTTGAAATCAAATCATCATAAAGATATGCTTGAATGGGCTTGGTGATGATTCAAAATACCTATTGATATGAAGTACTTGAGGTTCTTATGATCTATATATATGGTGACTAGATTAGAAGCATCTTCTAGATAATGATTCTATTTTTAAAATGAATCCATAATTATAAGAAGTTCTTTGTTGTAAATCTTGTAGTTAATCTTGGCTGCTAAAATTCTTTTGAAATAGAAAGCTACTAGATAGAGCTTGTCATTTGCTCCCATTTGTAACAAAACTAAGCTTGGAGCAAAATTTGATGCATCTATTTTCATAAAAGATGTCTTAGAAAAGTTGACACAATATAAACTTGGTACAAAAATAAATATTGTCTTCAAGGCTTTAAAAGATGCTTTAGCTTCTTTGCTCCACTTAAGTTTGTCTTTACATGTTAGACATGTAAGAGGGGCCACAATTTGAAAAAAATCTTGATAAAGATTCAATAATAATTGGCAAATCTCAAAAAATATTGCACATCTTTTATTGTTTTTGAAATCTTCCAATCCATGATAGTCTAAAATTTTTTAGGATCTATCATAAGGCCATCATTTGAAATGATATATCTTAAGAATTCACCTTGAGTAATGTAAAATATATACTTTTTCGTCTTCGCATATTATCCTATATTTTTAAGTTTTTGTAATATACAACAAACATGAACTTCATATTTTTTTGTATTCTTAGAATAGATTAAAAGATTTTTCAAATAACAAAAAACAAAGTCATGAAGAAACTTACAAAAAACATCATTCACTAGATGTTAAAAAGTAGCTAATAAATTTGTGAGTCCAAAAGACATGATATTATATTCATAATATCCATACTTGATTTGAAATGTAGTTTTTTATTCATCTCTTTTTTTAATATTTATGAAATTGTATGATCATTGTAAATCTATTTTAATATAGATCTTTGCTTAATTGAATTGATTAAAAAGTCTTGAAATCAAAAATAGAATATACCTATTCTTGATGGTGATCTTCTTAAATCCTTAATAGTCTACATACATCTATAAAGTTCCAACTTTTTTCTTCACAAATAAAATAAGAGCCCTTGCTAGAGATTTAGAATGGCAAATGAAGTTCTTAATCAAGTTTTCATGAATATATTCCTTGAATGAAGCCAATTTATTCTATAATAGGCTATAGATTGGTCAAAATAGAAATTAAGCTCTTTCTTGAAGATTGATAGAACAATCATAAGAATAATGCTTTGAAAGAATATTTGCATTATTTTTTTCAAAAATATCTTTATAATCTTGATATTGGCTTGGAATGCCACTTGAAATCTTTTTTTCATAAAAAATAGATGTGGCATATATAACAAAGATTGATTCTTCTTTTGAGCTTATATAAAAACTCTTATATCTATTAATAAAGATTTGGACATATTAGACTTATGGATTTTTACTTGACTAATAAATCTTGAGTTAAACTTTGAAAAAAAATAAAATTATAAGAATTCTAGTCTATTTAGAGGTTATAGTTTTTTAGATACAATAATCCTAAAATAACTTAATTAAAAAGAGATTTAATTATATTAAATATTATTAAATTATTATGACTATTAGTTGCTACATCTAAAAATAATAATTTTATAGATAACATCTCCAAAAGACCACAAATGATCATTAATTACTTTTATATAAATAGATTTGATTTTATTAATAAAATATATTCTTTATTTTATAACAAAATCTTTTTTTATAAAACAGGTTGAAACTCTCAAATCTAACAAGGCTTAGATTTTGTGATTTTTTGGTTCTAAACAAATTTCTATTGTAAAACAAGGCAAAAGATCTAAAGAGAAGATAGAACCTTTACTAAATGTTGCATAAGATTTCAGCCACATTGTC